TTATTAATAGCATGACTGGTAAATTCAACCCACAATAGGAAGTTCTGCATAAAAATCAGTGTCGGAATAGATCCTGTGTTATAAATTATTCCTAGGCATTTTTTGTGTTGTTTCAGATGGATTCTATCTTATGAGGGTTAACATTTTATTACCCAGACACCTCTTTTTTTCTAAGCATAATATCAATTTTTTTCTGTTGTAAATTTCTCTTATACATTTGCTAGTTATACTGTGTTGCATCTGAATCAGATTAGTTGCTACAGGCAGCTATTTTTAAAAGTCTCTTACTGGATTGAGGTATCCAGTAAAATAATGTCCACATGTATGATTCTTCCCTCCATGACAGAAAACAAATAGATGTAATTTGTTAAAGATTTAATCACATAATTGGGGCGTACTGGGATTTTTGCAGATATCTATAGGTTACATTAATTTTAGAGTAACTCTAGCTCACATATTACAAATTTGAACATTGTCATTACTAATATCTCATCTCATAGACTGTTGAATATGGGAGAAACAGGCAATATTATATACTTGCTGTCATCTTGATAGCTTTATTTATTAGACATGATGTACATTCTACCCTTCACTTTATTATGCTGAAACATTATCCCCAATAGTATTTCAGGCTTTGGTATAATCATTAGACATGTGGCAGTCCATTTGTAGCTTAGGTATTATTCATTATATTCACTCCATGCAGAGGACCAGAACAGTACCTATGCACCTTTAAGTGAGTCTTAAGCAGTGCATAGGCATTGTGCTGGTCCTCATCTGGGTGAGTTTCACTCTATGTGTAGTTAAGTACACACATAGAGTATCCAGTTTATTGAAAAGAAAGTTTATGACTTCAGAATAGATCCTCTATTCTTTTTTTTATTCTTCCAACTATTTTAAAAGATGTAGGTTTACTCATTAATTATATACCCATTTTAGTGAAGGTTAATCTGAATTCTTATTTAAAGATACGCAGATTTCAGTTACCTCAGCAGATGATGAATTTACCTGCCAATCCACAGGTCTGGTAGATTTTCATGCCAAACTTGAGAAAAATATGTCATGCATCTACTATAAGAGAAATCCACTCTAGCTTCCCCTCCTGGCTTCTGGCAGTTCAGAATTGCCCTTAGCATGGGGTTACATCCCTAACCATCTTGGCTAATAGCTGTTGAAAGACCTATCCTCCATAAAAGTATCTAGTTCTTTTTTAACCCAGTTATACTTCTGGCCATCACAACATCCCATGACAATGAGTTCCACAAGTTAATTGTGCATTATGTGAAAAAGTATTTCTTCTTGTTTGTATTAAACCTGATGCCTATTAATTCATTGGGTGACCCCCTGGCTTTTGTATTGTGGGAAAGGGCAAATAACACTTCTCTATTCACTTTTTCCACACCATTCATGATTTTATAGATTTCTGTTATGCCCCCCTAATAGTCTCTTTTTTAAGATGAACAGCCCTAATCTTTTTAGTTTCTCCTTGAATAGAAGCCATTCCTATCCTTGATCCTCTGTTGCCTTCTGTGAACCTTTTCCAGTTCCACAATATCCTTTTTGAGATAGGGTGACCAGAACTGGACACAGTAGTCAAGGTGCAGGTGAACCATGGCTTTATATACTGGAATTATATATATGCCTTATTTTCTATTCCTTTCCTAATAGTTCTTAACATAATGTTAGCCTTTTTGACCGCAGCTACACATTGAGCTGAAGTTTTCAGAGAACTATGCACAGTGACTTCAAGGTCTCTTTCTTGAGAGGTGACAGCTCATTTAAAACCCATCATTATATGTGTGTAGTTGGGATTATTTTTTCCAGTATGCTTTTGTGATTGGGTGGACAAACCCCACACTAGAGAACAAGGAGTTAAGAAGCAACTCTGGGCCCAGGTGCCCCCAACAAGCCACACCTGCAAAGCCTGCACAAGTTGGAGATGGTGCTTAAAAGGGGAAGCAGAGCTAGTCAGAGGAGAGCAGGCAGTGGAAGGAAGTAGATCTCTGCTCTGAGCAAGTACTGTCCCAGGAGTTCTCGTAGCCCGAGACCTGGATAAACAGACCTTATACGACCTACAAAGGAGAGATGGTTGACTGATTGGGAAGGTTAGAGACTGTGTTTGTTGTTCTATAATTTACTCCATAGGAAGAAGGGAAACATGGTTAGTAAATGGTTCCGGGGGTAGGCAGCTGCATAGCACCCTAAGGTGCAGAACATGACTGCCCACCAAAAGTCCTAGGGGAAGCTGAAGGACAGGACTATAAGTGAGAAGGAGTAACCACCTCCTGCACCCCTGTCTGAGCCCTAAGTGGCACTAGTGGTGAGCATTCCCATTTTACAGCATTACTTTGCACTTTTCAATGTTGAATTTCATCTGCCATTTTGCTGCCCACTACTTCAGTTTTGTGAGGTCCCCTGTAATTCTTCTCAGTCAGCTTTGGACTTCACTATCTTAAATAACTCTGTAACATTTGCAAACTTTGACACTGTTCACTCCCTTTTCCAAATCATTAATTAATCTGCTGAACAGCATATGTCCCAGTACCGATTCTTGGGGGATCACTCCCCATTGTTTATCCCTTCCCATTGTGAAAACTCACCATTAATTCCTCCTCTTTGTTTCCCATGTTTTAACCAATTACTGATAATTGAGAGAACTTCCCTGTTATCCCATCACTACTTAGTTTCCTTAAGAGCTTTTGGTGAGGGACCTTATCAAAGACTGTCTGAAAATCCAAGTACACTATATTGACTGGACCACCCTTATCCACATGCTTGTTGATACCCTGAAATAATTCTAATAGATTGGTGAGGTATGACTTCCTTTTACAAAAGCCGTGTTGACTCTTCCCCAACAAATAATGTACATCTCTATATATCTGATAACCCCATTTTTTGCTATAATTTCTACCAGTTTGCCTAGTACTGAAGTTAGGCTCACCAGTGAGGATCGCCTCTGGACCCCTTTATAAAAATTGGTGTAAAGATAAGGCAGCCTGAGGCTGTCCAGTGGGCATTCTGTGCCATTTCTCAGGGAAGGGAGGCAATGGCCCCACCTCCTCTCATCCCCTTCTGGGTGATTTGCTCCCTAGAGAGAGCAAGAACAGAGCACTCTCTTTTTGCAGTGACTGCGCTTGTACTTTGCCCTTGCAGGGCAGTGGTGGAGAGAAGGTCTTTGAAGAGCGCAGCAAGGGTCAATCAAAATCTTGACACCTGATTACTTTACACTTTAAAAAAAATTGCATGTTGGCTTGATTCTTTATTATACATTATTTTACAACAGTGTAACTCCATTGACTTCATTGGAGTTACTCTTCATGTACATGATAACACCCTGGCTATGATTCTCCTCCCAGTTCTGAACATTTTTCAGTAGTCAAAGGTAATCATCTTTTCCATTTTCCCCAAATATTAACCAAATCTTCTTATATGTGCCTAATGAGACCAAATCTTATGAGCTTTTTAATAAAAAGATTGTCAAGGTCATTATACAGCTTATTAAATCTACAGTATTTGCAAAGGAAAGGTAATAGAGGGTATGTTCAGTGTTTGAATAGTTAAGTTAGCCAGAGATAACAATCAGACAGAACTGTGAGCAGTGTTATCAGAGTAATTAGACTGACTGATACCATGGGGTACTATAAGTAAAACTGACTTTGGAGCAACACCATAATGTATGCAAACTCTAAAATTGCTACACTAATATGTGGCTCTACCCCAATCAGTTCTTGGAAATGACATGGAGGACTGCAATGAGCATGCTCAGTGCACCCCCAACATCCCACCAAAGGCAGGTTCTTCCCTCCCCCACCCCTGTCAGCTGAAGACATTTCTTGAAAAGGGTCACATACCTCAAGAAGAGAGATAAGAGAGGCAGGGGTCTGAGGATTATAGCCCCTCTAATAATCCAGAGGGTGATGGAAAAGAGAAGGAAATAGTTTTCATTGGGGAGCGCTCACCTTTGGACAAGAATCCCCCTACCTAGCTCCCTGCAGGATCCAGTAGAGATGAATAAAATAATCCCTCAGCCCATATACTCACAAGTATGGTTCTTAATAAACAGTACAGAATGAAGAATCTCAATTCTCTTCTCTCCCATCCCCTTGGATCTCACAAAAGGCAAGAGCCATACATCTGTAGTAATTCCCAGTCCCTTGTGTAGCTCTTAGCATGAGAGAACACAACCAAGAAAATGTAGGAGGTCTGACTGGAGTAAGAAAGCTAATTTGTATGAATTACTTGTTCCCTTTCAGAAACCAGGTGAATTTCAGGTAGGATCCCATTCAATAAAGCTCACCAGTGTGCAGCTGGCTTATGTTGTTTTCTAGGGCTTATGTGCTCCCAAAGAATGCAAAACATTATGCATTTAGGCTATTGTGAGTTATAGATACATATTGAGAAGACAGATCCCAAAATCTGAAAGGTAATCTTAGTGAAATAAGTGTCCACAGAGGGGTTTATACTGGTTTAACTAAATCGGTTTAAAATCACATCTGTAGTTTTCATCGGCAGTGTAACCCTCTTGTGTAGACAAGGCCCAATTTACACTCATGCTTCTCATGGCTCTGGGCAGTCAAGAATAGCTAGAATGCAGCACAACATGTTCTGGCCATGCAGTCTGTTGCTAGAATCTACAATGGGAGGATGCAGCATAGAGCTAGCTATTCCACGGGACCTTGAAGAAGCTCTACCTTGGCAGAGGAAGCAACTTATAGAAAAGACGTACCCTACCTTTCAGTCTGGAGATAAGCACATTAAAGTTAAGCACATATGTAAATATTTGCAGGGTCAGAGTCTCATTATTAAGAACAAGTATGTTGCTTTTCTAATTTGCTCATGTGCCCAGAGAATTAATGTTCTATTTCTTCTGTCCTGAGCTTTGAGACTTACAAAGTTTGGCTCTCTTGTAGTTGTCCTGACGGGGCGTGACAGGGAGTTATCACACAACATATAATTTATTTTGTTTTTGCTTTTGAAAAATGTGTAGTCACTCTATACCGATGAGAGAGAGCTCTCCCGTCAACGTAATAAAACCATCTAAACAAGCAGCAGTAGCTATGTCGGTGGGAGAGCGACTCCCGCCAACGAAGCACTATGCACACAAACGTTTATGCCGGTGAAACTTATGTTGCTCATAGGGTTGCCAACCCTCCCGGACTGGCCGGGAGTCTCCCGGAATCAGCCTCAATCTCCCAGTTGCTATTGAAATCCGGGAGATTTTAATAGGCCAAAAATCCAGTCGGCAGGGGTGGTGCAGCAGAGCTAAGGCAGGTTCCCTATCTGCCCTGGCTCCATGTGGCTCCCTGAAGCAGTGGCATGTCCCTGTGGCTCCTAGGCACAGGCAGGGGCGGCCAGGGTGTCTCTGCGCGCTGCCTCCATCCCGAGCGCCAACTCCGCAGCTCCCATTGGCCGGGAATGGCAGCCAATGGAAGCTGCGGGGGCAGTGCATGCAGGCAGGGGCAGCAAGCAGAGACCCTCCTGGGTGCCCCTGCCTGCGCCTAGGAGCTGCAGAGACATGCTGCCACTTCCAGGAGCTGCCCTAGGTAAGCACTTCCCGGCTAGAGCCCGTACCCCACACTCCCTCCTGCACCCAAACTCTCTCTCAGAGTCCACACCCCTGTCCCAGCCCTGAGCCTCCTGAACCCAAACTCCCTTTCAGAGCCTGCACACCACACCCCAACCCCTAGCCCCCTCCTGCACCCAAACTCCCTCCCAGAGCCTGTCCCAGACCGGAGCCTAGGGTGACCAGATGTCCCGATTTTATAGGGACAGTCCTGATTTTTGGGTCTTTCTTATATAGGCTCCTATTACCCCCCACCCCGGTCCCGATTTTTCACACTTGCTGTCTGGTCACCCTACCGGAGCCCCCTCCTGCACCCAAACCCCTGCCCCAGCCTGGAGAAAGTGAGTGAGGGTGGGGGAGAGAGAGCGAGGGAGGGGGATGGAGTGAGCAGGGGCAGGGCCAGGGCCACAGAGAAGGGGCGGGGCCTCCCACTGATATAACTGCCATGCTATGCTGAATTAATAACTCCATCTTCAGGAGAGGCATAAAGTAGGGTTACCATACGTCTGGATTTCCCCGGACATGTCCGGCTTTTTGGTACTCAAATCCCCGTCCGGGGGGAACTGCCAAAAAGCCGGACATGTCCGCGGAAACAGGGAGGCAGCATAAGCCAGGGTCCGCCTGGCCCCAGCACGACCCGCCGGGTCTGCAGCGCAGCCCAGCCGCCCGGCTACATTGTAGCGAGCTCGGGCGGGGGAAGGGGGGGCGCAGCCGCAGAAGGCGGCGAAGGGGCCGCTGCTGCCCCCGGAGGCCGGGCGGACCGCGTGCCCCAGCCGAGCCCGCAGGACCATGGGGAGGCCGGGCCCAGCCAACGGCTCGGGCTTCCCTCACGGGCGGGGACTCCCCGGCCACTGGGGGACCCTTCCTGCGGCCCCATCACCCCGCGTGGCAGGAAGGAGGCTGCGGCGCGGGGCAGGGAGTGCGGCGTGTGCCGGGGCTGCAGGGACCCGCGCTGCCCTGGTCGCCGCTGAGCATCCGAAGCCCCCGCCAGGCAGAGGCTGCCGGGGGAGCTGGGCAGGCGGGGGGGGTGCAGAGGCTGCAGGGCGAGGAGGAGCAGGGCAGGCAGGGGCAGGGGGGCGCAGGGGCAGGGCAGATGGGGGCACAGAGGCTGCAGGGGCGGGGGGGTGCAGGGTGAGTGGGGCACGGGCTGCAGGGCGAGGAGGAGCAGGGCAGGCAGGGGCAGGGGGGCGCAGGGGCAGGGCAGGCGGTGGGGTGCAGAGGCTGCAGGGAGAGGAGGAGCAGGTCAGGCAGGGGCATAGAGGCTGCAGAGGCAGGGGGATGCAGGGGAAGGGCAGGTGGGGGGCGCAGAGGCTGCAGGGGCGGGGGGTGATGCAGGGGATGCAGGGCCAGTGGGGAGCAGGGGGCACAGAGGCTGCAGGAAGGGGGGGTGCAGGGGCTGCAGGGCGAGTGGGGAGCAGGGAAGCACTTAGCAACCCCCAACCAAGATCAGAGCAGGAGGGAAGAGGGGGAATGTGGGGTGCTCAGAGGAGGGGGCAGAGTTGGGGCAGGGACTTTGGGGAAAGGGTTGGAATGGGGGTGGGGAAGGGGCGGAGTTGGCCGGGGCCGGGGCGGAGTTGGGGCGGGGCTGGGGGCAGGACCGGGGCCCTGGAGTGTCCTCTTTTTTAAATGTTTGAATATGGTAACCCTACATAAAGTCACTGTTGATGTAGTTAGATCGATGCAGTGCCAGTGCAGAAACCGCATTGCTTACACTGACTGTTACTGGCTTTGACACGTGACATAATGTTTAATTAAAAATCCATCTTTAATGCCTAGAGACTGCAGGACAGTCCTAGAGGTTGGGAACCTAGCTGCACCCTGCACCTATTCACTGCTGGCGGCCGGGCGGGGAGCGCGCTCTCTCTTGAGCGGACCCCCACCCACCGCGCGCCTGCCTTCTGCGGGGCACCCTCGCTGCTTTGCCGCCCTGAGACAATCCGGGCCTGTCTGTTTGGGGACCGGCTGCCACGCGGGCCCCGCAGGCGTCGGGCTCCCCGCTGCCCGCCCCCAGGGAGCGCTCGCCGGCAGCTGGGAGGCTGCGGGCGGAGCAACACCGCCCCGGGCCCCTTCGTTCTGCCGGAGCGTTGCAGGCCGGGCCCTGTTCTTGGCTGTTCTTTGCCTTGGCGCCGCTGTTGCCATGGCCACGCTCCGGCAGCCAGGCCTGGCTCCCGCGCTCTGGTTCTAGCTGGAGGGAGCCGGTCATCCCGCCAGCGAGCTCGGCCTGCGACATGAACAGGTAGCGGGTCCGCTGCTTCTTCTCCGGCGCCTTTCCGTGCCTGGGGAGTGCGGCCCTTGCTTCTAAACACCCTGCTTTTGTCTTCAGGTGTAATGCGGTCTGGGGCCCAGGGACTCCCAGGACGACAACCCCCAAGGTAAGAGATTTCTCCTCCCCCCACCCAGGCTGCCCACTGCAGCCCCCTAGGTAAGAGATTTCCCCCTCCCCCCACCCAGGCTGCCCACTGCAGCCCCCAGGTAAGAGATTTCCCTTCCACACACACCTCTCTCCCACTGCAGGCACCAGGGTAAGAGAATTGGGGAGTTTGGTGCCTAACCTGCTTAGATGCTTTTGAAAACCCAATAGACACCTTAATACCTTTAAAAATCTACGCCGAAATCTAGTCTCTATGACTCAATTTATTCATCTGTTAACAGGTCTAATATAATTGCCCAGCCTCATAGGTTGTGAAAAACACATCATGGACCATGAAATCTGGTCTTTTGTGTGCTTTTACCCTATACAATACAGATTTCACAGGGGGGACTGGCGTTTCTCAAATTGGGGGTCCTGACCCAAAAAGGAGTTGCAGGGGGGTCACAAGGTTATTTTATGGGGTCACGGTATTGCCATGCTTATTTCTGTGCTGCTTTCAGAGCTGGGTGGGCAGAGTGGCAGCTGTTGGCTGGGCATCCAGCTCTGAAGGTAGCACCCCCCCAGTAGCAGCGCAGAAGGAAGGGGTGGCAATACCATATCATTGCCACCCTTACTTCTGCACTGCTGCTGGTGGCACCTCTGCCTTCAGAACTGGGCTCCCGACCAACAGCCGCTGCTCTTCAGCTGTTCAGCTGAAAGCAGCACCACCAGCAGCAGCAGTGCAGGAAATTTCACTGTGAAATTTCAGATTTAAATAGCTGAAATCATAAAATTTGCAATTTTTAAAATCCTATGACCATGAAATTGATCAAAATGGACCGTGAATTTGGTAGGTTCCTACTCATAGGAGTGATTTGTGGCTTAATTAGTGTCAAATTCTGCCTTCTAATGCATGCACATTATGGGCATTAGTAATTGCTGTCCTAATCGAGAGTAGAATTTGTCTTTTACTTTGATCTTCCTGGTTGTGTAAGGCACTATATACTTTATTATATGAATTATTTATTGTTTTCTGTTCTTTAAAGTCTCCCCCCCACACCTTAAATGTAGTCTTGGTAATACTCCAATAATTGATGGTACTTTATAAATGTAAATGATCAAATTTCATCTGCTTTTGTGGCATGCATGGCTGTTCTATTTTCAAAAGTTAAGTTCCCCTTTTTTGATAGACAGGATTTTCAAGAATTAAGCACAAGACACTTGATGCAAATATCCTTCATATCTCAGATGTGCATATAGCAATCAGGATCGCAGGAATGCATCCTGCACAGTTGTGATTCGTACACATAGTTACTCAATATCTCTTTGGTGAAAGCCACTTGACATCAAGACATTTTTATTTCAGTGTCTTGTTAGGCCTAATTTTGTTGTTAGTATCTGGTATTATATCATCACAGTTCATGTTGTTGAGAGTTAAGATTGTGTCAGCACTTCCATTAGAAAATCCTATTTTTCAGGACTTAGGAAATTTTCTGTAAAATCTCCTCTACACCTAGGCAGAAATTTGGTATACCAAGTCTAAAGAAGCTATTTTTTCCTTTGTTAATAGAAAACTTTTTAAAACTGAGAATGAAATATATGGGTTTGCTGGTTTCAAAAGCATATAAAAATATGCTTGTATAACTTGAAAGCTAATTTAGTTTAAAATACAATCTGACATGTGAATAGTCCCAACTTCACTGCAATCCCTCTTTTGTATATTAAAACAAAGGTAAAAGTTGTTAATGTGAGTGGTAACCTTTGTAAAGGTGCTTAATTTCTATAAGAAACAGACTGATTCCATTTAAAAGAGCATTTTGAAGAATTATCTAGTTGGATGAATATCGAGATGCAGCTAACAAATTTGTTTACTGTCCCCATAAAAAAAAAATTTCTTAATGATAACTTGAATTATTTTCCTGTCAATTTTTTCAGGTCTCTGGAATGCTGGAAGTGGTTGGACCAGATGGTATTTGTTATAAGTTATCCATTAATATAGTTTTTTTAAAAGAGAAGAATTATGTTATTTCCAACATTCGAATTAAAAAAACTGTAGCTATTATATTTGCTTATAAAATTATAAGTAAGCATATTTTTTTTCATCCAGCCATTTTTATTTTCTCGAACTTAAGGTTTTTTTTTTTTCATTTTTTAAAGAAACGTCCCTCATATTTGCAGCTTGTCTTTCAGAGTGGCCACATTCACACTTTTTCAAAGCTAATAACAGTGTAGCGATATGGATCTACCTAGTGGTGTTACCCTGTGAATTATGTAGTTCACATCTCTGCTTTCCAGGAAATTGCACAGACCAAGGAGTAAGAATCTGCTAACAAGCTTAGAGACCTAGTATGGAAATATATATGAGAATTCCCAGTCCTGTTCCCAAGTTCCAAATTAAAAATGAAGGGAAATCTTTTCAACACCTCGCCTCACAGTAAAAACATACATTCAGATCATGAATTTGTGTGTGATCCGCGATGGTACTTAGGCAGTTAAGTCGCATTTTCAGGCACCACTATTATCCATAAAACTCCTGCTCAATTGCCTTCTAACCCTGTAGGTGCCTCAACTCATTCAGTGCCTAAGCTTTTATCACTGGGCATGTGTGCTGCAGTCTCACTAGGTAGCTGGGCGCCCATTTCCTCCTTGAGTCAGGCTTCAGTGCGCATGCTTTAGTTACTTGGGTGTTTATCTCCTGCTTAAGTCCCAGAGCAAGTCACAAACTGGGGAAGATAGGCATTCAGCTGCCTAAGTTGCGTGTAGGGTCCTGATCTGGTAGGCGTGGTCAGAGGCCGCCTAACAGATCTGGCCCCTCAGGCGAGTTCACACAAAACAGCCAGGAGTTGGGGTCAGAGGAGGACTTCCCTTATAAACTATAGCCTAGTGGATAGGCTATTCACATAGTCCCCTCTCCTGCTGAGGGGGACAGCGGATTTGAAAAGGGATTGTCCACCTCTCAGGTGACTGCCCTAACCACGAGGCATTGTAATTCTTTCACTGGCCCAATTAATATTTAATTATTCAATTATTTAATAGAAGTGGAACAACTTCAACAGGCAAGATCTGAGGGAGACCCACATTGGAATATTTCATAACACACGTCTGTTCAAATCACTTCTACTCAGAAGGAGGGTGTACTTGAACTGAGGGCCTCCCACATCCTGGGTGAGTATCCTATCTGCTAGGCAAAAGGGTGTAAGGGAGGTGGTCCTCCTCTCCCCCCCGCCACCCGTCTGTTTTGTATTAACTCACCTGAAGGGTCCGATCCAGTAGATAGTCTCTGAGTAAGTCTACCAGATTGGGCCCCCGTGCATGATTTAGGCATCTGAATGCCTGTCTTCCCTGGTTTGTGGATTGCAAGCAGAGATTGGCACCTCCCTAGACTTAGGCACCTATCTCCATGATAGGGACAGGTTTTAGCACACATCTGGTTGATGATGCCCACTGGCTGGCTTTGGTGGCTCCTTACCTAGTATGCTGGCTTTGTAGATCACAGTCTAAGGCTCCTCTCTGTCCCCATTCATTGTATAGGAGCTTAGGTGCTTAACTCAGGCTTTGTGGATTGCAGTGCTATTCTTGTGATGTTTCTAGAAGCCTAGAAGTTAGGTGTTGCGATGCTGAGCATTGTAGCACTTAAGTCCCTTCCTGCATCTGGGCCTTTGAAACTGTACTGCACAACTGGCTGTGTCATAAAACTGAAACTCCGTGTACCGTATGCAAACTTTGGAAATTAATTGTCTCACAATCTGTATTTATTCAGATAATTGCACATACCTCTTACATTTATAAAGTCATCTTGCTTTAATTTTTTTGGTTCAGTGATCCTAAAAGGTTTTTAATTGTCTGTATTTATTTATATAATTATACAATTTTTTATAAAGAAAACTGGCCCTATTTCTGGTTTATAATTATTCAGAAGGAAAAAAGGTTGTTAAAATATCCTCTTTTGGCAGTTGCTGAATACAATGTTAGATAGTCTATACCATGCATGTTCTGTCCTTTCAGCATAGAGTCAATGGTTCGGTATAACGTGTTTGGAATATACAGCAAGCCATTGAGCAAATGCCATTGATGACCAGGGACTCCATTGAGTATGCTTAGGTAGATGTTACTCTAGAGTACTACAGTATTTCACATTTCTAAATGTGAAATGGCTGTTTTCTAAATTTGATCTCCATTCATTCACAGGAGAGTGTTAATGAACGAATAGTTCTAAAATCTTTAGAAAGGAAGGAAGACCATACAGAATAACAGGACTTCACAAGATTTTAAAAATCCCCTTTAGTCTACTGAATAAATGTTCCTTGTGAAAAATACTTTAGGTCTCCTCTGAGTGATGTCAATGAGAATTTGCCATTGATTATATGGTAGCAGGATTTGGTCTTTAAACTTTCCAGAAAAACTGAATATAAATTGGCTTTATGCACCCAAATTGTTTTACAATAACATTATGCAGAACAAGAAAAATTAGTGACCATTATGCACTCAACAAAGATTCATATTACCTTATACTGTACACTTAGACTGTTTTATAACTGAGGAAGAGAATGTTGACAAGACCATGGGATTTATCCCTGACTCTGAAAGTTCTGTGTGAGTGATTAACTTCCACTTGGATAGCCATGTGATATAGACAATATGGACCCGGTTTAATGTCTCATCAGAGGTACAGTATCCTTAATTGCATTTTCAGCACTGGTTATAAGCCCTAATTCTAGTATGAAATTTGGACCCACAGTCTTCTGGTCCAAGGATGAGTGCTACCAACTGAATTATAATGGAACTAAGAAAATTGTAATTAAATTTTTTTTAAATTATATTTTACAATAGTTTGATATCAAAAAGGGAATGTACAAAGAGAAGATTCTAGAGGTACTCTCACATCACCAACATTAAGTCTGTTCTGTGTAACATTTACAAGTCCTCCATATATAAAGGCAAAGAAGACAGATAATACAGAAACATTTTTAAAAATGGCATTGTATTAGAGATTTTTGAACACCCAGGTAATGTCAAGAAGAAAATTAATATCTAAAATGAAAAGTACTAATGTAATTTATAAACTGACATCTTAGCCATCCGTTAATAGCTCAGTGTTTTGAAATATTCAGTGCTTCAAAAATTTTCTGTTGTCTGGTTTTATAAACCATTTTCTTATAAGTTCACTAATAATTCTCAAGTGCAATCTACATTGGTAAATATATAGAAACTTTGACAGCCCAACATTAACTGTATACTTTGATAATGAACTAATTGTGAATAGAAAAATATACAGTTTAAGAAAACATGGTTTGTTCTGTGTTGTGCTTAATACATCATGTACATCTTTCTGTTTAGATGGATTTATTCTAGAAGCCTGCTTGACAATGTCAAGGTAAGAAAAGAAAGACACAGTCTTGGCCCCAAAAAATTTCCAGAAGTTTTCTGTTGTGTGAGGCAAGCTGTAAAGGAATGTGAGTTGGGTGAATTTGGGGAGACCTGGTGGTGGAGGAAGAGTCAAGGCGATCTGCTGATGACCTCCCACATCCACCATTTATTGGTCTATTCTTTCCTTTATGTGTATTTAAAAGTAAGTGAAATGAGTTTTCATTGGATCAGTATATAATAATATGCAATCTTTGGGGCCAAAAAGCTTCCTTCTTTAGGTTTTGGAAGTTTGTACCAAACCATGATACACCTCTACCCCGATATAACGCGACCCGAATTATAACGCGACCCGGGAACACGAATTCGGATATAACGCGGTAAAGCAGCGCTCCGGGGGGGTGAGGGGGGCGGGGCTGCGCTCCGGCAGATCAAAGCAAGTTCGATATAACGCAGTTTCACCTATAATGCAGTAAAAATTTTTTGGCTCCCGAGGACAGCATTATATCAGGGTAGAGGTGTATATATAAAATAGATTGTTTTATTTGTTTACTGTGATTTGCAATGATACAATACAAAGTGTTACATTCAACTATCATTTCATATATTAAAGGTTCTTCTATTGCATTAAATTGATCAAGCACAAGAGGAGTCATGCACAGTGGTCAAATCAAAATTTTAATACAAAAAGGGCACATTGTGAAAGATAAAAAAAGGTTAAATATAGCATTTATTATAATTGTTGTGATATGACTGTAAAATGTCATATTTTCAAGCACTTTCTTAACAGTTAAATTCACATATTGTACTTCAAATATTATAGATTTGTACTAGTGATACATTTTTCTCAACCAGAACTACCAGTAAGCATCTTTTCAGTTAACTCATGCTTGTTCCTGACCCAAAGGAGACTTTTTTCTTCTATTTTTTTTAAATATTTTGAGACTGTCCCATATTGATTAAGTCCCTATCACGGTGCCTTCTGGCCAGGATGGATAAAAAGCAATGTTTTTTTTTTTTTTTTAATTATTGTTTTTTATTTTTGATAGGTTTTTTCCCCAAAAAGCATTTTATCTAAAGATAGTTTTAACTAAGATACATTATAGCTCAAAGATATCTCATCATGGAATAGGGATTATAAATTCTAATTCTATAGTATGAGACAATATATTCATGTTATGTTTAAGAAAAGTTTTGTAAATGACTTCTAATAGTTCATGGATTAGGGACCCAATCTTATGGGGTTCCACAGGCTTCTGTATAGATTATTTAGGTTAATCTTTCTATCCACCCAATGGGACTCAGTGCTCAGTCTAGAAGATACCATCAGAGATACTTAGTTTTGCAGTTCTCAAACTGTGGATTTGTGTCTCCAGAGGTAACATGCTTGTTAACAGCAAAAATGTTTTAAAATAAATAAATAATATATAGAGGTGAGAAATAACAGACCTCAACTCTATTGTCCCTCTGCAAATTTGTGTACACAGAGTCAGTCCCTTACCTCTCTCTAAAAGTGCAAAGTTTCAAAAAGTTCAATGAATAGAAGATTGTGGGGGGTGGAATAGATCTGGACAAGGAGAAGAAGTCTGGAGATAAATGCGAGAAGCGAGAGACATATGCTTATTTTGTTAAAATATTGTATGTTTGCTGTTGAAGAAAAAAATCCAGAATACTTAACGTGGTGGTTTTAGTTAAATAAAATAATTTAAATGTCTGTCTGGTGATGTTCTCCTCCTAATACAGCATGGCAAGAAAATCCTCCAAATATTAGTGATTAACCTGTTGAATTGGAGACAGTTCACCTCCCAATGACTTCCTAAATATCTCTTCAGTTACCTTTGGTAAATGAAATAACCAAACAATCATTCATTTTCTGATATAGCTGTAAAACTAATCTGAAAAGTTTTCAAAATAAATCACTGTTTAAAAATGTATAGTGTGTACCTTCTAAAAATGAAACCTACATCTATCTCTGAGTTGTGAATATGTGTTAAGGTTATAACAACCAACAAGAATGCACTTTTATGTAGAAAACCATGATTAAATTGAGTCTTCCTGACTAGTGATTTAAATCATGATTTAAATCAATTTGATTTAAATCATGATTTAATCAAATCCACCCTGCTTCTGGGCCACAATAATTCTCTGACCTTTCTGTGTTGCACGGCTCCAGAGGCTGCTCCTGAATCTGTGAGCTATCTCCTCTATTTGTCAGAGATAGAATGCCACGCAAGCTTTCATAGGAGTAGAGTGTTGTATATATTTGTTCTTGATGCCAGACAGAAGAAATATTATTTGACTCCTCTTGCTCCCTCCTCCCTCCCACGCACCCCCCCACCCCACTAGTTTAATGAACAGGAGCTGTCTGCCACCTGTTGTCTCTTAGATAAGTTTTAGAAATGTAAAGAAGATTAAAGAAATATTCTTAGCCATTAATAGAGACCAAAGATATGTCTCCCCAGCTAGTTCTGGAGTAATTTTCTTGTGTAGGTCCAACCACATGTCTTTAATAGGAATGGAGAAAAAAGATGACTAGATGGACCCAGAAAAGGGAGTCGTAGAGCATAGGCGCCGACTCCATGGGTGCTCCGGGCCTGGAGCACCCCCAGGAAAAAATTGGTGGGTGCTCTGCACCCACCGGCAGCTCCCCGCTCAGCTCGCCTCCGCTCTGCCTCCTCCCCTGAGTGCGCCACGTGCCTGCTTTTTCCCCCTAGCTCCCAGGAGGAATGCGGCGCGCTCAGGGAAGAGGCAGGGCCGGGGCGGGGATTTGGGGAAGGGGTCCAATAGGGGCAGGGTGGGGGCGGAGTTGGGACTTTGGGGAAGGGGTTGGAATGGGGGCAGGGCAGGGGCAGGGAAAGGGTGGAGTCAGGGCCAGGGGCAGGGAGACTCGAGCACCTACTGGTGCTGGGGAAAGTTGGCACCTATGTCGTAGAGTGCAGGGCATGGCAAATTTATTTTAATGAATCTCTAATGGTGAAAAGACTGGTGTAAATTGGACGTTTTAAAAAAATCACTCTGTGGGTTAAAATGCCTGAACCTGGTTACATCATTGCTGTGTGGTGGTGTACTGGTGCTACACAGTATAAAAAGTCCTAGCATAGATAAAGGCTAACCTATACTGAGGAAAGTTGGCTCACAATGGAGACACAAGGTTTTCTGAAATCATATTGAAAATGGCTGTGCCCTGTCTACACTAAATAGCTTACTTACAATATTAGTAATACCATTGCAGCTGAAAGTGTTTTGTACCTACTAATATTCCAGTTCAGCAAAGCTCTTAAATACATATTTAAGTCCTAGTGAGCTCAATAGTAAAAACATAAGGGATTTACAGAATAGGGGATAGACTTCAGCGTGGGCTTAAGTGTTTTGCTGAATCAGATCGTAAATCTGGTTATAATTCTTTCTAGTGTGGGCACTAATGCCAAAGCCACCATCCAGGGCTTGTACAAACCCGGGAAAAGGCCTGGGTATTTTTTGTTGAGTCAGACCTTAGAGTCCAGATTAAGTAATTGTTTGCAGTAATTGCAGTTGTGTAAGAATTCGGTGCCTTCTAGATTTATTTTATTTTGTTTTGTTTTGTTTTGCTACCACATGTCCACTTGAACAAACTGAAATTCCAGTGTTCAAGGAGTATTTGTTCATACAAATGTCTGTGTTTTCTACTAGGCAGAACTGTTTAGAAAGGACAGATGCCATAAAGGTAAGACTTAGTTTTCCATAGGATTTACTTCGGCATCTTTTTAATGGGTAATTGATGTGTTTTGTTCTTTATTTAGCTATTGTTATTGGAAAAACAATAGCTACTGCTGTTTGAAATTTTCGTATGTGTGGTGAAGAAATTTCAAAGCTCCAATTCTGAATCCTGATGTGGAATTCTGTTGAAGTTACTGGGAATTTGCATCACTGCAAGAACCCTCATTAATGCGGGATGGGTATCTTAAGTAATTACAGTGGTTTTCATTTTTAATGTTACTATTATTGTTATTTTAGGACCAAAAGAATGGACAAAATGGCAGATTACATGTGTTTGGTCCAAAAGGTAAGTGACCTAATAATGATTTAGTATTTGGAAGATTTTTATTATATGCTAGCTTTCCCTGATTTAAAAAAATCCAGTAAGCAAGTTTTTGAGTTGTTTAGCAGTTCAAATTTTAATTGCAACTTTGAAACATTTTACAATATCTGTCACAGTCAAAGAAAGTTTAGAATTGAAAATCAGAATTTGTACTAAGTATATCAGAACTTTAAACAGCTGTTGTTCATTTGTTTTTTAGAAGAAGTGATTATTGAACCAATTCAAACAATGCCACGGTAAGATGATCTCTTTGGTTTTGCAGCTGATCTATTACATGCCTTTTTAAGCAATTAGAGATAGATAATGAAATCATTTGTCACCCAATTAATTTTGAAAGGCTGGAAATGCATGGATTAACACTTTAACCTTTGGTTCAGTTGGCACCATTGTTATTTAGATGGGGTATTTAAAATAGAATTTAAATTTTGATGATATTGTAGAAGTACATATTGTTTAAATTAAGGCCTTTACATTTTGAGTTATTGAATAGTTATTTTCTTTCAGTTTGATGTTTTTACTGCTGTAGAATATACTTACATAAAATTTTCAGAAGCTATGAAAACATTTTCTGTTGTGCATAATCTTTTGGTTTGAAAATAATAATAGAATTCATGTATAAACTAAAATTAGAAATATTGATTAAAATTAATGGAAGATTTATCTAAGGGCCAGATCCTGTATCACTGAAGTCAGCAAGAGCTTTGCCATTAGCCTTAATGAGTGCAAGTTCAGGCCCTGAATGATCTCAATTGCTTTGAAAATATCAACCACTATATTTAAGATTCTTATGAGGTTAAGTGAAAACTGTGAAAATTTTTCCAAAATAAGTTACCATGGCCATTAGACTGCTCCCATAAAAGTCCATAGAAACATCCCATCAACTTCAATGGAACAGGATCATGCATCGTGACAAGATCCCTTCATCCATGTAAGCAGTCAAAAGGCAGGTGTCGCAGTACAGTAAATGATCTAAGGTCACATTTTTTTAGAAGTGGTTTGTAAATTTGGAGTGTATGTTTTGTACACATGAAAAGGTATGCATGAAAAAATGTGAATATTCTTGTTAAAGGCTGTCTGAAAATTTGGCCCCTGGTGATTATCCAAGATTGCTCCAAAATATCATTCCTTGCTTTATCTGTCATGTCAGTAAAACTCAACTTGGGGTGCCAGTTTTTTATCTCATTTACACAAATGTAAACTTGGAGTAACTCCAAAGACTAAATGGGTCACATTGTTAAAAGGGAACTCTTGTTCCTGGATATATGCATTTTCACAAATATTTTTGTGCATGCAAACTGTATTTGCACGTGTAATCTGGTAGGTAGTAGGCAGCTGGACTTTTGACCTCTCAGTTTTCACACAAATATAATTTACTTGGAAATTGTAAAATAATAAATAATAGAAATAAACCAGTAAATTTTGCATGGGTATGGAAAAGCTTGTAGATGCAATTTTTTAAAGCCACTTTTTAATACTTGGTCTTAAAATTCCTGCCAAGTGGACTGCTCTTGATGTTATGATACTTCTCTTACCATATGACTCTATAAAATTGCTTTAGTTACTAGGTTTTTTTCATTGCTGGAATTGGAATAAATTCCATTTGTGATTTCCCCCCAACAATCATTATGTAAAATATAACTGCAATTCATTACAATGTGTATATTAAATAAATCACTAAATCAATATAAAAAATTTGGAATATTCATCTCTAGTAAAAGAGTAATTATATTATAAGAATGGGTATTGTCTCTTTTTCTAGCACTGAGCTTTATTACAGGCAGTTAATTGAATGGAGGTATTTATTATATGAATATGTAACCCCTAGTTTGTATAAGTATGTTGAGACTGTCTCCATATTTTACTGAAGTTTGAAAACTCTTATTCAGTTAAGGGTACTCTGTAACACCTAACACAGTTGGAAGAATTACCTGTACATTTTCAAAGTCAGTTCACAGCTGCTTGTTTCCTGTGTTAGAAAATGGGTATAAAAGATATGAGAACATCTTCCCTGCAATCTGGATGCGATCTATTTATTTATTCTCATTCAGTTCCATGTAGACTTTATCTGGTGAATCTTCCAAAAAGTTCTTTTGGAAAAGTCATCTTAAATTAATAGAAATACTACATTATAATGGTCTTGAACAATCAGTGTAAACTGGTTAGTACCTGTAGTAATAATCACAGGCATAGAACTTATTTTAATATTTAATTAAAAGGAGAAAATAGGAGTTAACTGCTATATTGCATTTGATTCATTCTCACTCACTAGAAAGGCCTATTCCTAATCAGTTATGTATAGGCCTTCTTACGTTTTGTATGGTATGAATTTGCAAAAGTGATTTTTGGGTGTCCACTTTAAGATACTTTAAAGGAGTCTGATTTTTCAGAAGGTATTAAGCACCTGCCCTTTGAATATCAGACACCTTTTAAAGTGGTTCAAGTTGGGCACTCAAAATCACTTTTGGAAATTTGGTCTAGATTCTTAAGCAAAAGCATTAGTTAAAGACAACGTCAGGCTAATGAACCAAGGTATATAGGAGTTATATCATATATAAGATATGCCAATATATAGTTTGTACAGACAACATGTTGCATTTTCTCCATTTGTATGCATCTACTCTCATTTTCTCAAAACTAAGTAATACTTTATTATTTAAATCCAAGAGCGCCTTATTCAGTTTAATTCTTGTTTTTAGTTGCATACTGTCTATATCAATATTGTTGAGGAATAGATATTAAACTCCATCTGTCCATGGATTTTTTTGTTGTATTCCGTGTCTGAGTAGCTTCATCACCTATGTGAGCTAATGTAATTGGATTTTAAAAGTGTTTGGGATTTTGAAAGGTAATAGGAGGTACTAGACAAACATTCCCTTAGACTTTGTAACTGGAGAAAATACTTTTTTCCAATGAACAATCTGTCATTATTTGTTAAATGGTGTCTACTGGAGTTTCTATTTTCTGAAATAAAAATGAAGATAAATAATGAACTTGGCACTCAGTTAGCTGGCAGCTTCATATGTTCACTGACTTAATCATGCTGATGATGATTTGGTTATTTGTGGAGACTATTGATGTTATTGATCTACTTTCAAGACTTCAAATGACATGCTGTTTTGGGGATTTGAAGATTCAAGATGCAAAAATCAATGTTGAAAATGAATTTCTCTGTGATCCCAACTTTATATTTTTGTGCTTTAATGTAGAAAGCTACATAAACTCTTTTTGGGAAGCATATTCAGTTGCTTAAATCAGTTGTCATTGTCATTCTGAGAGAGTTATTAAAAAGGTACAGTAAATGTTTGTGAGCTGTAAACTAGGGATGTAAATACAGTTTAAAAAGTTAACCGTTTAAACGATTTAAAAATATTTTATTTAAATGGTAAACCAGCTGGGGCTGCTCTGGCCGGGCGGTGCGGCTGGGGCCGCTCTGGCCGGCCGGCCTGGGGGTTAAGAGTGAAGGCAGGTTAACGTTTTAGATCCCTACTGTAAACACACAGGGAAGCTGATGATATATCTGAGAACTGATAATCAATAAATGTGATTTCCACTACTAATTCATTTAATCAGCACATGCCATTAAATAAAGTATATTTTTTTTCATTAACTACAACATTTAATATGTGTAGAAGAACATGGGAATATTCTCAGCATGGATGGGGAACTAATCAGGTAAAATTTGTCTTCTGTGGCTTAGTGAGGCTAGTTGCTAAAGATTGTTCTTTACGGAGATTGATATGCTGTAGGATGGTAGTCTTGTACCACAAAGATGTGAGGATAAAATAATTTACAATTTTAGCCATTTTATTGACTGTCAAAGTTTGAAACAGCTATTCAGCATTTCTTATACATAAACAGAAATACAGTTATCTCTGTTGTATATAATCTATATTAAGAAAGACGTAAATATTCAGGTTAGTGACTTGCCTCCAGTGAGGGCTAAATTCAGCACTGGGTTTTTATATCACAATATACATTTAAATGAAAGGGAAAAAATAGCATCATGTATTGAGGCCATTGTACAGATCACAGCCTTTTTGTTTGTTTTGATTTTTAGTGGGGCAAAGGGCAGATGGTACAAATCTTGGATAGCCACAAGTTCACAAGTATCAATGGAATGAACATAATTGTATTGCAGTTAATGGCAATATTTGATTTGTGTTTCTTTATGTGAAAAACCATTTTAATTTAAACCAAGGCCGCATGGATTTGGACCAGAATCTACAAACAAAGTTTATACCCCAACAAAACAAATCTCATTATGTGCAGCTAAATCAACTTTTGGAAAGTAAGTCTTTTATCTTTGTAGCTCGCTAGGTGCATTTAAGAAAAATGGGCTATTAAAATATTAACGTTGTGCTTTTTAAATAAATAATTTTAACCCTTTGGATTAATGCTTCAGGTACTGGCCAGTCAGGAGCACTCTGACAGAGGAGGATGGATTTATGGTCACTGGGAGGAAATGCTGGGCTGGAAATCTTGCTAAAATGAATATCAAATGGCCCTGTGTCCCCCATCACAAGTTAATGACCACTTCCTTGGGCTGGAAACTAGCAAGATTTGGGGGGATGTACATCAGAAGGACAGAAATTCTAATATGAAGCCTAGGTTGGTTTGGTGTATAGGCAAGACAAAAGCACGCTGATAGCACGAGCATTGGTTAGGCAGCTCAGATGACTGCAGCCAGCGTGGATTGTCAGTGCGTAGAGTGAGCAAGAGTGAGCTGGGCAAATAGTATCCTGAGCTGCCAGAGAATAATCAGAAAACATTAAACAGTGCAGTGTAAACACTAAGCAATGTAAAAACACAGCACTGAACAAGCTACTGACATGGCTACCAAAAAGCCCTACTATACCAAACCTGAATCAACCTTAATTTTTTTGTTGGAGACCCAAACTGAGCTCCAGGTTGTCCTTGGATTAATTATCTTAAAACAAAATGGGTGTAGTAAAGTCCCTGGAAATCCAAGGCAGTGGAAGGAGACTTCTTGGGATGAGAGCTGAAGCTCCTGCTGCTGTGGGGAAGCCATGGCAGAAGAGAAATAGTAACTAAATTTCCTTTGCTCCCTTTTGTTAATTTATAATTTTTATTAGGAGAATTCTTAATCTCACCATCAATTAAGGAATATATCTTATGTCTAGAAATATCCATCATGTCCTTCAAAAAGTGCACAGTCATCCAGCAGGCAAATCACTTTTCCATAAGAAGCAGTTATTAACTATGACAGGGTTATCATAACTGTCTTCTTATTTTGGTGCTGCTGCTGTTACATATCTGAAAAAATTGGCTTAACCTAGAGATGTTATTTTTAGTCTTTTTATGATGCTTATTTTATTTTTTTTACTGTAAATAATATCCAACATGTAGATGGGACGCTTCTGCAAAAACTATAAAAAAGAAAAATTCATCTAGGATTCAAGAGACTAATTTAAGATCACCCCAGTACATACAAGAAACTACAGGTAAGATTTGCACTTTCTTCACTGAGTTACAGATAGGTCTCTTATTCAACCACCCACATCCCCAAAAAATGTGTAACAAATGGGTAAGGACTAGAGATTATAAAGTGATATTAGTTCCTGTGCTGTATGATTGTGGAAAGAATAGGATTTTCTTGTAAGGACTGAATGTGATATCTTAGGCCTTATGCTCCAGCTTTTTTGCTGCCCCAAGCGGTGAAAAAAAAAAAAAAAGATAAAGCCCCAATCAGCGGCACTTCAACAGCAGCTCAGCCGCTTAATTCTTCGGCGGCGGTCCTTCGCTCCGAGAGGGACTGAGGGACCCGCCGCCTAAGACCCGGACCCGCTGCCCCTTTCCATTGGCTGCCCCAAGTAGGGTGACCAGACAGCAAATGTGAAAAATCGGGATGGGGGTGGGGGGTAATAGGAGCCTATATAAGAAAAAGACCCCAAAATCGGGACTGTCCCTATAAAATCAGGACATCTGGTCACCCTAGCCCCAAGCACCTGCCTCCTTCAGTGGAGTTAACTTGTTCCGCCACTTGTGCAGGGAAAGCCCCTGGTGGGCTGGGCTGGTTTGTTTACCTGCCGCGTCCGCAGGTTCGGCCGATTGCGGCTCCCAGTGGCTGCGGTTCGCTGCTCCATGCCAATGGGAGCTGCTGGAAGCAGCGTCCAGTACATCCAGGAGCTCCCATTGGCCTGGAGCAGCGAACCGCGGCCACTGGGAGCCGCGATCGGCCGAACCTACGGACGCGGCAGGTAAACAAACCAACCCGGCTCACCAGGGGCTTTCCCTGCACAAGTGGCGGAACAAGTTTGGGAACCACTGCTCTAGAGAATATCTACAGTGTTCATGGAAGACACTGTTCTCAGTTAGATTGAAAAGGGGCTATAATTTCATGGCTATGACACAACAGAACAGCACATGCCATCATAGAGCATGTATAATATATTATCTGACTTTGGAGGTTCTGAACTTCTAGAACTCTGTTTGCTTCAGTAATATTGTATTGCATACAAGAAGACTTGACCACATGTAAAGTGGTTCTGCAAAGGAAACTCCACATTAGGTTGTGCAGATTTTTCTTTTGTTTAATAAATGTCTTCATAGAATACCATATATTATCCTTTCTCTTTTGGAAATAACATTAATTGCACAATAACACTGCATTTTTTTTTATCCCTTGTTTGTTTTAATTTTATAGAATTTTATACACATGAGCAATTAAAAATTGATTTACACAAACTACATCATGAAACAACAATCAGTGAAGCTAGGACAGATAGTATCAAATCAGAAGTCGTTGGTTGGTTCAAGTGAAATGTATCTCTGAATCCCTGACAATTCTCCATGCAAATATTTTCTATTCAAAGTTGCCTTTTATTATTTCAAAAAATGTTTTTTGCTTAGGAGATTGGTATGGGGAAAGTGTAGTAGTCTGAGGCTTAATTTGTACCTTTTAGACACAGCCCACAATAAGGGATGGATCTCAACCACACTACCCCAAAAGGAGCACTGGTGGCCTTCTGTCTTTGGGGAATGCAGAGGCTGCACCTCTTGCTATTGCTCTTTTTCTTTGGGTGCATCTGTCTTTTCCTCCTGCAGCCAGCTACTCTGTGTTTTGGGTCTGAGGAAAGGGACTGATTTCTGCTTTGCCTTTAGCCCTGGTCTACACTACAAAGTTTTGTTGGTATAATTATATCACTCAGGGATGTGGATTTTACCAACCTAACTCCCAATGTAGATAGTATGTCAACAGGAGGGCTTCTCGCATCAACATAGCAGCTGCCTCTTCGGGAGGTGGAGTACCTGTGCCAATGGAAGAAGGTCTCCCGTTGGCGTAGGCAGCGTGTTCGCTAAGTGCTACAGCTGCGCAGCTGCACCTGCTGCTGCAGCGCTGTAACTGTAGACAAGTCTTGATTTAGGGTGGGCAAGGGGGTTATGCATGTGCGCAATTGCATATGCTGTGCACTCATATCAGGGCCAGGCACAATTTGGCCCAAGGTTTATAAATTGCCTCCAATCCTCTACAGACACTTCAGGCACTAAAAAAACAAAATAAATTAATCAAAATAACATTTAATAAAATACCATATAATGTTAAAGTAATGTTAAGGTTGCATAGTTAGAAATACAAGAAGTCACAATATGCAAAAGTTAAGATTCCAGCAATGTGACTGTATTAATATTGCTGTTGGGACCCATAACTTACACTTTTTCTGGTGGTTTTTTTTTTTTTTAAATGAAAATAATATGGGAAATCTTTAAGGTCAGTAGAGAATATAAAATACTGTTTCTCAGCATGGTTACAGATCTACTCTAGCTCCACTCTAGCAGTAAAAAAGTGTTATAACACAGACACCACTAACTGTGGCAGAGAACTATGTGCCAGCACTATGCTTGTAGGGTATATGGGCCATTAAAAATAGATCCATTGTGCTGTTCACTAAATGCTAAGCTAGCAATTCAGGTTTTCAGAATAATCTAGAATCAACCAAGAAAATAATACTTATTATAATTGTAAGTCTATTTTTTTAAAAATATAAAGTAAACCTTACAAAATAGCAAAGTTATTTTAATGATTCTTTCAGTGGAGTTAACATCCTGTTCACATTGTCCTCTGTAAATTACAAGCTGTTTCACTTTCTGCAAGCCTCATTTCTTGGCTGCAATGGCAGCACAGTAAGCAGCCTTTTATTGTGTGGTTACACAGAATGGGAACATAGGATGCAAAAAATAGATTTAAAAAAACTTCATTTCTAATCTCTATTTCTAATGAAATAATGTCTGCTCAGATGTATGCAGTTAGTTTAAATAGACCTATAAAAGATCTTTTTTGTAGAAAGTTACAGGGCACTAAAGTAGCCTGAAATAAACACGGTAAAGGAGTAAAATTAGAAACCAAGAGTAGAAATCCCTAGTTTTTAATGGGAACTGTTTTATAATATTAACTATAGCTGTTGCTACTAGTGCAATTGCTGTAATATAAAAACTAAACAAAGTGAAATCAGTTACTAGTAAGTGTAACCTATTCCTGCCATTTCTTGTCATCTGCCAACCAGTCATCGGGCGGCACTTTGTCAGAATGTTACCTTCCTTTCAAAGACATACTGTAAAACATGACTCAATTGGTCTGATCAAAAATAAAATATATTAAGTAGAGAGAGAGAGAGAGAAAATCCAGTTTTACTCCAAAGAAACAGCCTGCATAACGTATTTATTCTTAATTTCTAAACAACATACGTAGGTACAATTAAGGACATTACATTTTATGAAGAACACATCCTCTCTGGTGAGCTTCTCTCTTTCTCCTCTGCCGCTTTTGCTGAGCAGGTTGGCAGTGAAACAGTCTTTCCGCTCCAGATAACTGTCATCCATCCTTCCTTCCTCCTCAAGTATCTCCAATCCCCCAAATTTTAGTCAGTGATCCTTTTGATGTTCCAAGGTGTTAGCCTGTTCATCAATCCCAGGCAAGCAAACAAAGATGTTTACAGACATCCCTTTTGAGGGCATATGACACGTTCTTATAGAAAGACCTATATATTTTAAAGACATTCACTATTATAATGGTTGCCCTTGTGTAAACAAGTTTGGGTTTTTGTTTATGCTGCTGTTACACTTATTTTTCCAAATGTTCCTTTGAAGGTATAGTCACACAACACATGACTCAGCCCACATTTGCATCCTCATCAGCTCTCACGTGATTGTTGTTGGAAGAAGCCATTTTGGCATGATAATTTGACTTCTTTCAAATGTGTCTGACAGAAAGTGTTAACCTTGAAAACTGCTCACTGTTTACTTGTTAGAGTTCTTAGTGATAAAGTTCCTTTTTACCAGCATTTCAATTCCGTATCAAATATTAATTGACATAGTATGTAGCACAGTTTTACTGCCCTTTAAGGGAATCTTGGTGATTAATATACAATTGCTCTGCTAGCACTTATACTCCCTTTTATGAGCTAGCATATGATATCATAGTTAAGTCAAGGCTAGTTAATAAAGAACTAAGTTGATGCACACTTGAAACTCTCTCAAACCTGGTGAGAAGGCTACTGAAAGATTCTATGGAGCTGCAGTCAGCAATAGAAACTGGGATAGTTGGTGAGCTAACCCCAGTATAAAGTTTAAGAGATCTTGTTCTGTCTTGGGGCCTGAGCCAAAGTCCTCTGAAGTCAACATATTCCCATTAGCTTCAATTGGCTTTGGATCAGACCCTAACAGCATTCCCAGACAAGCTAGTGCTGCCCTTCAGTGGCTCTATGCATGCTGTTAAGGCATTTTAGTGTCAGTGATCTTAGATTCTATTAAACTGACTTTTAAAGACATTCTAGATTTTTCACACACACACACCCTCGTGGTGTCACTACAGGGCAGAATTGAGGTGCCTTAACTGCATTTCCATAACTTAACATGTTTGGCTTTCTTTTAAATTTAACTTTTAACTCTGAATTTCCTGGATTTACAACAATTGGGTTGGTAATAATTACAACATCCTTTAATGTATCTTACCCTAAATTACTGATATATACTCTTAACCTACTTAATATAATTTTTTCTGGAATGTCTGGTTTTGTTTTTTTAAATTTCATACATTAACTCCAACCAAGAAACTCAAAGATAATGCTATGTGATACTTCATATCTTCAAATCATTAGAATTACCAGCTTTAAATATTTTTTTTAACAATTTTAACTTTTTATAGTCAGATGCACTAGTATGTCCTGATTGCTTTACTCTAGTCTGCAGCAGTAGGATGCAGCCAGAGCATCCTGGCCAGTTAAACTGTGTCTACAGCTGCTTTGTTTCACCAGAATAGCTCAAAGCAAGTGGGGAATTACATCACAGTTTCCTTCTTCTTCCTATCCTCCAAATTCCCCCTCCTCTTCTACTTCTCTATGTTCCTCTGCACATGTGCACACACACCATTTCTCCCTCTCTCTGTTTACATGTGTGCCTACTTGCACACAAACATGGTTCCCTTTTCACTCCTGCCCTCTTGCTGGGTAGATCTTGAAAATAAATATTTAGCATTAAAGTTCACTTTTTGCCGTTGTATTTCATAACTGAATGTTCATTTGTCAGCAGAGGCTTGTGCATAATATCTTGTCCTTCAGAGAAATACCTAAAAAATTGCTCTCTTTCAAAATGGTCAGTGCATCCTCTTATGCTGAGTGAGAGTGAAGCCAACCTGCCTTCAGCTGGTGGCCCTGAGCTGTTAGGAGATGGAGAGTAGGATTACCATATTTTAATATTCTAAAAGGAGGACACTCCATGGGCCCCGCCCCCGCCCCAACTCCGCCCCTTCCCCACCTGGCCCCACCCCAACTCTGCCCCCTCCTCTGAACGCTCCGACCCCCCCTGCTCCTCCCCCTCCCCTGCTTCCCGCGAATCAAATGTTCGCTGGAAGAGTGAGGCAGGCAGGCAGTAGGTAAGCTGGGTCGGGGACGGGCGCGAGGAGGCGCGGCCCAGTCCGGCCCCCCCGGCCGAGCGGCTCCCTCCGGCGGCCGGCCCCGGCCAAGAGGCTCTGGCCCCGGCGTCTCCGGTCCGGCTCGGGCCCTGGGGCGCCGGCCTCGGTTCCGGCCGAGCGGCCCCGGCGGCTCCGGCCCTAGCAACTCCAGCTCGGCTCGGGCCCTGGGGCACCAGCACCGGCCGAGCAGCTCCGGCGCCGGCCAGCGGCCGAGCACCCCCAGCCCCAGTCCCAGCGGCTCCGGCCTGGCTCGGCTCGGGCCCCGGTTCCGGACGAGCGGCTCCGGCCCGGCCCCGGCCCTGAGCGAGCAGCGCCGGCCAGCGGCCAAGCACCTCCAGCCCCGGTCGCAGCGGCTCAGGCCCCGGTTCCGGTAGAGCGGCTCCGGCCCAGCCCCGGCCCTGGCCGAGCGGCGCCGGCCGGCGGCCGAGCATGGCCGGTCCCAGCGGCTCCAGCCCGGACCCAAGCCCCACGACCCCTCCCTATTTTCCCGGACATGTCCGGCTTTTTGGAATTTCCTCCCAGATGGGGATTTGAGGATCAAAAAGCCGGACGTGTCCGGGAAAATCCATATGTATGGTAACCCTAGTGGAGAGGAACACTTAGAGCTTGTGTATGCTGCCTCAGAGTTTGGACTTTTCAAAGAGAACTACATTAATACAAATTATGAACCTTTTAGTTTGCACCCACAGTGTCCACATGGGGGAGTTGCAGTGCAGCACTTTGGGCTGGTCATGCCCCTTTTCTTCCAAACTGCAGGGCAGTGTAAACACAGCCTCAGTCCTGTATAGATACAGTCTCAGCCCCATTTGAGAACAATGGGAGATAGAGGTCTATGTCAAAATGGCCACTTGAGGGCAGCCTATGGCTTCAATCCCATTGAGAATAGTGCAGCCATTTTGAAAGAATGCAAAGTTTGTGGAATAATTGGGGTGTGTGATGGGATCCCTGGGGTACAACCTGGAACTGGGGTACTGCTGTGCCCCCTTAACTCTCCAGTCTGGGCTCTTTCTCACAGTGCTTTGCTAGTGACAAGACACAAACCCCTCCAGGTGCTGTTATCACGCAGTACAACAGCTTGTGGAGCCTGACACCTAGCTAAATTGCGTGACTGCTCCCTAAGCCATTCATGAATCACACAGAGAAAGGCACCAGCAGATCTCCCAAGCCCCCAGCCTTTTACCCAGAACTGGACCATCTAGCCCTGGTCAGAAGCCTGACTAGTGTAAGTTCATTACCCAGTCTGCCCCTCCCTCGATGTGGAGAGGACACACACTAGCTTTTGTAAACTGAGCTGAGATTTCCCAAGCACTTCTACCATAACACACTGTTTTAGGTAAAATATAAAACAGATTTGTTAACTACAGAAAGATAGATTTTAAGTGATTATAAGTGGTAGGCATGAAAGGTCAGAGATAATTACCAAAGACAATAAAAGGTAAGCATGCAGTCTAAATTTTGAATCGTATTAGACTGAGCAGTATTTGGATCAAGCAGTTTTTCTCACCTCACTGGATGTTGTAGTTTACAGTACTTAATACACAGACTTTCCATTTAAGCCTGGGACCAATCTCCTCAGTTCAAGTCTTTGTCTTCCCAGCATTCTTGTTGCTTCCAGCCTAGGTCGGGGAGGAGAAAAGGTAAAAAGCAAGATGTCACTGTCCTTTATTTTATACCCTGAGTCCATGTGCCGGGAAAATACTAGCCCAGACATGTCCTGGTGGGCCTTGCTGAGTCACAGTGTTGAGCAATCCCCCATTGCTTGTGGTGCTTGTGCAACTCTCTTACAGCATTGTAAATCCCTTGTTTACAATTCCCCTGCTGATTAATGGTCATTTAACAGCCACCGGGCTGTGGATCACCTCCTTTGTTGTTACTGGAGAACTAGCAGTGGAGGACTCCCAAACTTACAATATATTTTAATAACAACCATACAGCAAAGTCTCATGACTTCATACACACTAACAATATGCATATTTTGACAGAACCATGGGTTTCAGGAGATCATGACCTTTAATATGATATCTTACATGGCATGCTTTGTATTGAAATATCATAACCATATATGAATGATGAACATGGAGATTACAGGGTGCTATTTTGAGGAACAGTGTATCACAGGGGCAAATGACCATTAATATTAAAAAAAAAACATTTTTTCAAATGTAGCCTACACACAGTGAAGATTTCAGTAAGTAAACCATAGGGGAAATTTTGAAAAATATGCATTATTCTGTTCATAAGATCATTTGGGACAAAAAGTCTGGCAGCAGGTGCTGAATTTCTTATCTTTAAATTTAATTTTAATTCCTAAACTAATTATCAAAGGAATGTAAATTAATTCTATAATCAAAGAGTAAGTCCTGGTAAATTTGGTTAGGATACACAATTTTTTATATACATAAGCAGTTGAATCTCTGATTTAAGTGCAAAACAGCTCAGCCTTAATAATGGAGCTGCAACTGCCCCCCCCCCCATAACAAACTATTGGCATTCATTAACTTTATGAATTCCAGGGTTTTTTTCTAATTAGAAGTTGTCTTTTCTTCAACTTTCATTTTTCTTCCTTATTACTTTGTTCTGTGATATCTGCTGTTAGCTAGATTGCTCTATAGGAGAACCTCTTAAGGATAAAATTGGTACAATTGATGTCCCTATAAGACTCTCGTTCTGTAAAACAAAAATGTACTGCATTTTTGGCTTCCAGCAGATCAAACATTGTTATAAGCACCACCAGTACAATGATTCTTCTTTCAGAATATTTAGCTGAAAGAATGGTATTACAGCTGAGGTAAAATTTTTGTACCAGAACCCATACTGCTTTTATGATCCTGATTCAGAGCCCACTGAAGTCAATTAGAGTCTTTGCATTGACTTCAACAGGACGTGTGTTTGTATATGTTTCTGCACTTTGTTAATTTGAAATCTCAGAAAACTTTCAGACCTGTTACCACAATTTCATAGTACTTCTCCTCAAACACATTAGCTTGTAGTTTATGTATTTAAGCTGAGAGATTTGGCTAAAGAAGGGCATATATTGCAAGCAGGCACAATCCAAGCTTTGCCATCTAGTCTGCCAGTAGCTCATGCCTCCTTATTTCAATCTTGGGACTTTGCAGGAGAGGCTGTCAGCTGGACTCCATTAGGTCATGGTTCAATGATGTGAACAAATACCCATTAGGACTCAGCCAAGACCAGCAACCTTTATTGACCTCTCACTGATTTTAAACTCAAAAGATTAGGCACTAATCTGTGTGTTCATTTCAACATATAGTCCTATATATGAGACCTGAGAAATGAATTCCTTCATTAGTGAATAAGTCCTTGTAAAATTATGCATATAGATGTGCTTATTTGAATGTGCATTCAATCACAATTCTTATTTTCTTTTCATTCTAAAGCACCTATGTGTTCAGCCAGTAGATCATTTGATTAACTGGACATTCTAATACCTCTTAGGGAAAAGAGATATCATCTTATGCACTTAAGCCTCTGTGGACTGTTCCATTGTATTCGTGCTGGAAGAGAGCTTTTATCTTTAATAATAATAATAATAAAAACACCCTCCACACCATGGCGTTTCAGACCAAGACAGCAGCTTTTTCAAAATTGCCAGGCTGTATACTCCTCTTCACTAGAGGAATGGTGTAAACTTACTAATGCTTTATAATACTTAAAAGTGACAGATGAGGTTGTTTTTGTTTTGTTAGGCAAGTCCAAGAAATGCTAGTCTGCAGTTTGTGGTATTAGGTATTACTCATATATGACATGGCAGCAATTTAAAATACCCAAATTGTACTCATGGGAAAACCTTTACAAATATAATGAAGAAGAAATTAAATGAAAGAAACAATAAATACTTAATGCACTGTTATGATTGAGAATATAAATGGAACAAAAGTTAGAAAGGTGAGAGTTATGGTTCCCAAAGCAACTATTACTTTCTCAAATTTTGCATTCTTTTTAAGGTAAAGTAGTTATTCTTTAGTGCTTTTGAAGACATGTAAGACTCTCTTTCTGTGAAACAAAAATATACTTCCTTTTGGCTCCCAGCAGATCAAACATTGTTATAAGTACCATCAGTACAATTACTCTTCTTTCAGAATATTTAGCAGAAAGAATGGCATTACAGCTGAGTTTCTGTAATATAACACGTTTTAAAATGGAGTTCCAGGAAAGAGACGTTACATTCAGCGGGCCTAATTCTTCCCTGAGGGGAGCACCATATAATTCTTATTTTCTTCAGTGGTAATTATCTTAGTGTATATGAGGGCATAGTTGAGCTCAGTAATGTAAGCATTAACTTTTTGATGTAAGAAGATAAATATTTTCTGTTTTTCAACTGTATGCAAAAATACCTTGTCAGTGATCCTCATTAACTAGTTAATGCTTATGAATCACTTTGAGCACATAAAATGCTCTGTAACTGCTAAGTATTTTGTTTTTATCGCTGATATAATATTAATTTTGAATTTAGATGATAAAGAAAAAAATTCCAGAAATGTAGAAAAGCCAGCAAATAATGAACTCAGCACTGAATTTCAGACAAATAGTATTGAGGACCATAATATTGATGAGCAGCTGTCAGAAACTACAGATGACGATGAAAGCAGCAATGAAAATAGTGAAAATGAAGATAGAAAAATAAATGCACCAATAGAGTTGCTGGGAGAGGTAAATTTCACCTTTCCCCTCCCCCCGAACAATGTGAACATAGACTGAGGGACCCATGTACTCTGCAGCACAGTGGGACCCAATTCTGTAGCAAACACTCCATAATTCTGCCTAATTCTGCATCAGTGTTGATTTATTGTATCTGTCGTGCAAACATGCTTGCGACCATGTTTCAAAATTGAAAATACTCATTGATGCACAATTCATCAATGATTATTTTCAGCAATGACTATTTTTTATATATTTTTTGTTTTGTCCTCCAGATGACCCAAGTCAGTGGGCTTCAGTGGTTACAATGTTGTCTGGGCGTCTCAGCTCCCAGTCTCTTTTCCCTTCATCATGCATGCCATCAAAAATGGAGAGCTTATAGTCCGATTCAGTGGTTCATCTGAGTTCCACAGGCCTCTATTCTTTAGACAGTATAGCTGCCCAACCTGGATTCTGGTTTTCCCCCTGCTCCCTGGCAGCAAATTAGGGTGACCAGACAGCAAGTGTGAAAAATCGGGACGGGGGCGAGGGGTATATAAGAAAAAGACCCAAAATAGGGACTGTCCCTATAAAATCGGGACATCTGGTCACCCTACCGCAAACTGGTCTCTAGCCCTTGCTCCCTGAACCTCTCTTGTCTTTTCTGTAGAATAGTGATGCACTATAATCAATTAATTCACCTTTGTGGATAAAGATGCAGAGTGAGAGGTAGCTTCAGGCAGGTCCCAGCAGGACAAGATAACAAAAGAACTCAAGATGCTAGGCATCTGGCTACAGCAAAATAGTATTTTTGTTGCAGAGTTTACTGAATTCTGTGATATCTTGGAAAAATGCCAAAGCCCACAGTTGTACAATCAGAGTCCCTGGAGTCCAGAGTGAAATGACTGGGGCCATTCACATCTCTCAGAAGTATTGTTTTCAGGCTTGTAGACTCAGATGGCCACGGTTCACCCTTGGCTTACATTTTTTAGATTTGCATACCCATAAGGGCTAGAAACATAATTTTTTAATAGAATTCTAAACCACAGTTGTGCAGCAAGTGGTGAATTATGGCAAGTTCTGCAGTTGTGGAATACTTGGGGCTCTGCGACTGGCACTGTAATGGTAAATACTCTGTTGAAAACTAGTCTTTTATGTATGTACTATGCAAACAAAATCACTGCTGATACTGTCAAAAACAATTTTTCAAAAAATATTCCTGTGTAAAAGATGTGTGCCTGTATTTAGTTGTTTGAAGAGGGAAAACAGTTTAGTCAGTTTGTATGACGGCTTCTGTTCTAAGGCCTGGTCCACACTACCCCCCCCCACTTCGGACTAAGGTACGCAAATTCAGCTACGTTAATAACGTAGCTGAATTCGAAGTACCTTAGTCCGAACTTACCGCGGGTCCAGACGCTGCAGGCAGGCTCCCCCGTCGATGCCGCGTACTCCTCTCGCTGAGCTGGAGTACCGGCGTCGACGGCGAGCACTTCCGGGATCGATCCGGGATCGATTTATCGCGTCTAGACAAGATGCGATAAATCGATCCCAGAACACCGATTGCCTGCCGTCGGACCCGGAGGTAAGTGTAGACGTACCCTTAGTGCTGCAAGAGATCCTGAGTGCCCACGGTGTGTTTAATACTCATTTGGAGTACGCAGTGTATATGGAGAAGAGTTTTGTTTTTTTTCTTTCCTGTTACCTAGACTTGAATATCAAAATGTTTGGGAAGTGGTAGATGGTATGTTTTTTTCAGCTAATTGGTTGTGTTTGCTCAACATCCAGTTCCTCCTTTTTTAAAAAACAAAAAACAAAGCATGAGATATGTAGAGTTGCTGTCAAATGCCCCAATGGAGCAAAGTACTTAAGCATATGCTTATGTCCCATTGATTTCATTAAGAGTTAAGTATGTGTTTTAAAGTTAAGACTGTGCTGTCATTGTGATACTAATACGCTTACAGGTAAAATGACAGTGCAGTAAGAAACGTTCTGGAATAAGATTTTTGCACGGCAAGCTGAAGAAAACTTTACTCAGCTCCTCTCTTGGGGGGACTGAGTATATCTTTGCAGTAGCTGACAAAGCCTTATTAGTTGCTATTGAGAGTACAAAAGGTGGGAAGGGTCAGAGACTTAAATCTAGATCCTATGCTGTATGAGAGGCATGGGCAAAACTCAAGTAGTGTAGGTTTAGGCTCTGCCAATTATGAACATAGCTCCAAGAATTTAAAGAGAACTGTTGACTTTAACAACTCTCAGACTGTCTACTTGACTTCAAATGAAAGAACAGTAATAATATTCATTATTAAAACAATATCCAGCAGTTACCACACAGTGCTGTCTGAGATACTCTGTTGTCTAAGAAGAGAAAATGATGATACCTCATAACTTTTTGCCAATGTTGATTTTTTTTTAATTTTATTTTTTTTATTTTTTAGTGGTGACCACTGTATATATCATGTTTGCTTATGTGGTAATTAGTTTTTAATATCCTGTCATTAATTATATAAGTAGATTTTTATACTGCTTTTAACCATTGTCTCACTATTCTGATAATGCCACCTCAAACATCAATTAAATGAGTCTGTTGTGGATTTCCATTTGTTAGTTTAATATTACTACTTGTAGGTCATTGAGATCTTTGTGGATTTATGTTTGGTTTGGAGTCCCCCTCCCCTTATTTGATAGCAATGAATGATAGCATGTTTGAGATCCAAGACTGTTCCATCTGATGCCAAAAATAAACTGTGGACCCAACAGGTGTTGTCAGGGCTTGATTCAAGTCCCTTGTCCACACTGTGCCATACTGACAGTGAAGCCTTGTGTTATTTACTCTTGTCAAATACATCTCTCGGGGCTATTAATTTTTACCTTATTATGTGAGCACAGGTGTTACTTAGGATACCTGTTGTAAAAAAAAAAAAAAAATCAGTTCTCACATCAAACTTAGGCCACAATCCTGAAGACATTTAAGAGCGTGCATGACTTTACTCATGTGAGTAGTTCCACTGGAGTCAATTGGACTACTCATTTGTAAAACAACACACGTACCTAGATGTTTCCAGAGTAACTTGGCTGTGTGCTCAGAGTAACACACTTACACAGAAATATAATCCTCAATTCTAAGATGTAGTAGCTGAGATGGAGTTTGTACAAGTAATGGTGGGACTAGCAGTTGTCCACTGTCCCCTGGTGGATCTACTTAGAACAATAGAAAAATTCTGCACTTTATAGCTGTTGGGAAAATTGATCAAAGTTCTCACTAAAGTATTTTTATATAAAAACTGACCAAACTTGGAACTAATTCTCAAAGTGTGCACATCAACAATTCTCTATATTAACTTTCATACTAAACTGTATTGTTCTTTTAGTTCCTGAAAGCAATTATGGATCAAGACTACAGTCTCTCAAAAAAACTTTGTCAGATGAGTAAGTACTATATGTATAGATAGATAGATAAAACTTTTTTACATTTTACCTGTTTCATTTTATTATTTCTCCTCATGTCCATTTTCTTAATTGCTGATAAATACTTGGTCACCTTGATCGATCAGTCCATCAGCCCTAACAGAGAGAGAGCCAATCACAATACATCATTCTTGTTGTTCTAGCCATTCCTTCAGCCACCTGCTGGCCAGGCTGTCAGTGGCACCGGACACCTGATTAGCATAGCGCACTGCAGCCCAGAACCCTTGAGTCCAAGTGATTCGCCAGCATCAGCCTCCCCAGTAGCTGGGATTACAGGCACGTACCATCGTGCCTGGTGCTGATAAATAAATTTCTTAATTGCTCAGGTGGCTTTCATTTTGGATTTGGCTTACATAAAGTTGCTTTGTTTTCAGTAACATGTGCCAGCTTCCTCCATGGAAAATAATTCTTCTTCTCCATGCAGGAGAGAATTCTGATGAGTATAGACAAGACCAGTAATAAATTAACAAATAGTGAAGTTATGACACCACAGTTGACAGTTGCTTAATAGTCAAGTAATTGAGAGAGGGGTTGGGTTTTTTGGTTAACAGCCATTTAACTTAAATATCTAATGCACATTTTGGAGAAAGGATGTCTTTGTTAAAGATTCAGGCCTTGTCTACACTACATAGTTTTGTAGATGCAAGTTATGCCGACAGAAACTGGTATAATTACATCACTTGTGCATGTTCACACAACGCTCCTTCTATTGGCGGAGCGCATCCACACTTGGTGCTCTAGCATCGAGAGTGAGAACAGTGCACTGTGATTAGCTACCTCACTGAGCTACTCGCCACCTTCTGCAGCTAGAAGTTGTGGGAAGGCAGATTGGATCGCAATGCATCATGGGTGTGGGTTCAACATCCCATGATGCAGTTCTTTCCGTCCCAGCATTCCATGGGCTTCCAACTGCATTTTGCTGCATTTTTCAACAGCCCATTTACTGTGCGCCCGCCATTTCTGGTTGAAAGCATGTATCCCACACTGCTCTTTACTATTGTGGTCACTGTTATGAACACCTCGGGATGGTCATGAGCTTCCAATTTGAACAGGAATCAGAGTTGCCTGACCTGCTATGTGTCCTGGAAAGAAACAACACAAGATTACTTTGGACATTCATGGAGTAGCTGAACACGGTGAACTGTCACTTTTGGGCTCGGGAAACAAGCATTGAGTGATGGGATTGCATAATTATGCAGGTCTGGGATGACAAGCATTGACTGCCAACTTTTGGATGCGGAAAGCCACTTTCCTGGAACTGTGCAGAGCTCGTCTCAGCACACCAAAATGAGAACTGCCCTCTCGGTATAGAAACAAGTGGCAATTGCTGTGTGGAAGCTGGTGACTCTGGACTGCTACCGCTTGGTCGCGAATCAGTTTGGAGTGGGGAAGTCCACCGTTGGGGCAGCATTAATGCAAGTTTACAGGGTCATTAATTGCATCCTCCTATGAAGGACTGTGACTCTTGGAAAAGTGCATGAAATATTGGATAGCTTTGTGGCAATGGTATTCTCTAACTGTGGAGGGGCAATAGATGGCACGCATATTCCAGTTTTGGCCTGGACCATCTTGCAATGGAGTACATCAGTAGAAAGGGGTGCTTCTCTATGGTACTGCAGGCGCTTGTGGATCACCCTGAGCACAGTGGGTTTCACTGACGTCAACACGGGGTGGTCCAGGAAGATGTATAATACATGCATCTTCAGGAACACTGGTCTATACAGAAAGCTGCAAGCAGGGACTTTCTTTCCAGACCAGAAGTTTCAAGTGGGGGATGTTGAGATGCCCATAGTGATCCTGGGAGACCCAGTGTACTCCTTACTCCCGTAGCTCATGAAACTTTACACAGGACACCTGGACAGTAACAAGGAGTGCTTCAACAATAGGCTGAACAGGTGCAGAGTCATAGGCGCTGACTCCGTGGGTGCTCCGGGGCTGGAGCACCCATGGGGAAAAATTAACGGGTGCTCTGCACCCACCGGCAGCTAAGCTCCCCCCACCTCCTCCTCCCCCGAGTGCGCCGTGTCCCCACTCCTCCCCCTTCCGCCCAGTGCTTCTCACCGCCCCACCACTTAACAGCTGTTTGGCAGCGCTTTGGACTTTCCGGGAGGGAGGAGGAGGAGCGGGGACGTGGCACGCTCAGGGGAGGAGGCGGAGAAGAGGTGAGGACTTTGGGGGAGGGTGGTGCAGGGGTGGGGCCAGAGCGCGGGGGGGTCGAGCACCCACTGGGCAAAGAGGAAGTCAGCGCCTATGTCCAGAGTGACCATAGAATGTGCCTTTGGCAGATTAAAAGCGCACTGGCACTGCCTTTATGGCAGGTTAGACCTAAATGAGGAAAATGTTCCCATGGTCATAGCAGCCTGCTGCACACTCCATAATATATGTGAATCTAAGGGTAAAAAGTTTCCTCCCAGCGTGGAGCGCAGAGGCCAATCAGCTGGCTGCAGAATTTGAGCAGCCAGATACAAGGGCTATTCTAGCCCCGTTCCCCTCTTCGAATCAGGGAGGCTTTGAGGCAACATTTTGACAATGAGCATCAGTAATGTGTCTTTCTATACAGTGCTCATGCTGCATTATCTTGCCGCCTTGCATTAAAGTTGTGATAATTCCTGACCAGGATTTGTAGTGAGCAAATGATCAAATTGCCACTGTGTATTTCTACCAGCCGCAACCACATGTGGGACAGTTTGCTTTTATTAAATAACAATTAACAACACACACAAAAGGATTGGTGGGAAGGGAGATAAGAGTGCAGAGCAGTGTATGCTTTCATATCTGTGTGTAACTCCAACTATCATTTTGGAAGCTGTCTGAAGGGGTGGAGTGAATGAGGTACCGAGACATTCTGGGAAGTTGCAAGAAATGTGTGGGAGGAGTTTTGGGGGGGGGGCGTGGAAAACAGTTCTGTATTGGCTGCGGGTAGGGGGGCAAGCATGCATCTGTTCTGCCTGGAGCATGATTAGGGACTTCAACATCTCTGTTTGCTCCTCCATCATTTTTGTCATCTGCTCCTGGTCCTTTACAATTCGCTCCTTGCTCTCCTTTCTATCCTGCCTTTCTATTTTAAATTTTTCCTTCAGGGTCTCTCTCCACTCCCTGCGTTCTCTTTTTTTTTTGAAATCCGAGGATTGAAGCACCTCCTGGAACATGTCCTCCTTGGTGCACTGTGGTCGCTTCCTTTTCCGGCAGAGGTGCTCTGCCAGTGTGTAGGGGGTTCCCTGGAAGGCCCCATCTGCAAAAGCACAAGAAACAATACACAGAAGCATGATTGTTAGTTCATGCACAACACTGAATCATTATAGTAAAATATACCTCTTTTCACATATGAATCACTTTCTCGCTGTCCCTTGGCAAGCACGCATCTCGGTGAACACTCTAAACATGGTGAGTTTGGCCCAGGGAGGGAGGGCGGTGTTGGATGTTGAAGATGAGGCAAAGGGTCTAGGTTTTTTTTAAGGGAATAAGTGCAGGAGAGTATGGACAATATTGCAAATTCTGCCCCCATTTTCCACAAACAGGGATAATTGATGCCGATATCTCACTCCTGAGGGTATGCAAAGGTGCATCTCCTGCATGCTTGCAGGTTCAGACCCGGTTCCTATGCTGCTCGCCCATGTGCCGCTTTGGTCCCTGCTCAAGGAATTGCCGATTGGTGCAGGAAAGTTTCCTACAATGTGGGAAGGAACAAAGCAGCTCTGCCAAGGAACTTTCAGCAGAGGATTGCCGGGTACCTCCAGGAAAGTTTCCTAGGGCATGGCTACACTTGCAGATGTAGAGCACTGTGAGTTAAACCCGCCTTCGGAGAGCGCAGTAGGGAAAGCGCTGCAGTCTGTCCACATTGACAGCTGCTTGCGCACTGGCGTGGCCACATTTGCAGCACTTGCAGCGGCATTGGGAGAGGTGCATTATGGGCAGCTATCCCAGCATGCAAGTGATTGCAACGTGCTTTTCAAATGGGGGGGTGGGGTGGAGTGTGACAGGGAGTGTGTTGTGTGTATGTGGGGGGAGAGAGTGAGGTTTTGGGGGGCTGAGAGCATGTCAGCATGCTATCTTGTAAGTTCAGACAGCAGCAGCCCCCCATTCCCCCCCACACCTCTCTCTCTCTCACAGCATTCCACACTAATGGCTTGCATGCCGGCTGTCAGAAATGGAGCTTTGAAAGGGCATTTCCGCCTTCCTACAGGAGTTCAAAACAATGACAGAGTGGCCACTTGACTTAAGGGGATTATGGGACGTTTCCGGAGGCCGATCAGAGCGCAGTAACCCAACACCTCGTTCACACTGACGCCCGTGCGTTGTAGCCAAGGCGCAGCCAACGTTACTCCTCTCGCCAAGGTGGAGTACCAGCAGCGCTGTAGCCGCGGAGTCAGAGCACTCTACGTGCCTTGCCAGTGTGGATGGGGAGTGAGCTAGTGCGCCCGGGGCTCCTTTATTGCGCTGTAACTTGCAAGTGTAGCCAAGCCCCTAGAGATCTCGCAGGAGGATTGCCATGTAATCTCGGTGTGCATTAACACACTGTTCCACTGCACTACTTAGCTGCACAAGGCTATGTGGAGCACACGCAAACACAGCTAGTCTTGTACATTTCTATCCCTTCACCCACTTTTAGAATATTCAGAGCAAAGGACAGCTCTACCTCATATAACTGAGCAGCATCAACTCAAAAAGATCACTTACCAAGGCTATCCTCTACTGCATGCATGCGCGCCAGAGACTGGCTGCTGGGACTGGCTAGACCCCTCAGGAGTGGAAAAGAGGTCCTGACTCGCCACACCACTGGACGACCCTGGCGTGTGCTCCATGTCGTCCTCAATCTTGACTTTCTTGTCCATAACCTTGTCCACAGGGTCGAATCCCCTGTCCGCTGCCTCCAGCCTCACTGAAGTATCCATGGGGCTGTTGGCAGTGGAGGTGGCGTCAGCGCCGAGAATGGCATCCATTTCCTTATAGAAACAGCAGGACTGTGGCGCAGCACCAGAGCAACGATTTGCCTCTCTTGCTTTCTGGATGCCTGCCTCATCTCCTTTATCTTCGCTCAGCAATTCTGCATGTCCTGTTTGTAGCCCTTCTCCAACAAGCCACAAGAAATCTGCCCATAGGTATCGAAGTTCCTATGGCTGGAGTGGAGCTTGGACTGCACAGCCTCTTCTCCCCACACTGCCAGCAAATCCAACAATTCAGATGTGGTCCAAGCAGGAGAGCGTTTGCTGTGTGGCGCTGCCATGGTCAGCTGTCCACGCCGAGCAAACAGGAAGTGGAATTTCAAAAATTCCTGAGCCTATAGGGGCGGATGCCTGTGTATCTGGGTGCAAGGCAGCGGAGTTTGAACTGCTGACCAGAGCCATCAGGATGGGCATTGTGGGATACCTCATGAAGGCCAATTATAGTGACATAACCAACCGCGGTGTCTACACTGATGATATAACTTTGCCCCAAAAAGCTCTCTCGCATCGAGGTGGTTTTATTTTGTTCGCAAAGCAAGAGAGTTTTGTCGGCAGAAGGAGCATTGAAGTGTGCACACTTCCACTATTTTGTCTACAAAAGGCAGCTTAATAATCATTTCATGTGTTTACCTATTTATTTTTAAATTGTGAATGAATTTAGTGCCCAGAAAAGTAAGGGGCTAATAGTACTGATATGACTGAATGTGGTATAGTATGGCAAAGTGCTGTTGTAACAGGGATCAGTGAATAAATGTTTCCTGTAGGTTTCCATACAGTAACTGTGTATGTGGTTCCAGATTAGATTTTACTAATTTTTCAATAGATTAGGTTTTATAAATATTTTTTTCCTCGTGGCATCGCTACAGGGCTCAGTAAAAGCATCCAAACAACATTAACTCAGCAGCTTCATGCCTGAACATGTTTGGGTTTATTTTATGTTTAACTTTATATCTGAATTTCTTGGGTTTGTTATGCCTATTTCTTGTGTCATTAATAAATTTTTTGTAAGTTACATATTTACTGATATGTACTCAACGTTAACTCTAGCTTAATATAGTATTTCATGAGGAAATATAAATACAAATAACCGAGAAATCATTATTTGCATTTTAAGTCTCTGAAAACAAAATTATGCCACTATCTGACAGCATGCACTTTAACAATATGCCTTGAAATTGTTCCGCAGTCTGACTGTGAGTTGCTATTGTCACCATATAGAATTATTAACATATCCTGTTGTCAAATTTCAGTTCTAATCTATGAACCAGAAAATACTGAGGCCAAGCAGTTTCTTCCACTTCTTGAAGAAAAGTTGCTGATGGGTGAGTTTGACAGCAGTAACCATTATATGTTGTAGAAGCATTCATGCTTTTCACAAGTGAACAATATTTGGGATTGCTGTAACTACATGGATCCTATTTTATTTTTAAAAACTATAGGGTGAGAAATATTTTTATCACTTTTGTGTTTAATGTGTCTTAAGTGTGATACATTAGGCCAGTGGTTCTCAAACGGGTCCAGGGCCCTCTGGGGAGGCTGCAAGCAGGTTTCAGGGAGTCTGCCAAGCATGGCTGGTGTTAGACTCAATAGGGCCCAGGGCAGAAAGCTGAAGCCCCATTGCATGGGGCTGAAACCCAGGGCCCCGAGCACCACCATCCAGGACTGAAGCCAAAGCCTAAACAACTTAGCTTTGTGGCATGGGGCCCTGGGCAATTGCCCTGCTTACTACCCACTAACATGTCCCCTGGCTTTTATATGCAGAAAAACAGTTGTTATGGCACAGGTGAACTGTGGAGTTTTTATAGCATGTTGCGGGGGGGGGGGCTCAGAAATAAAAAGGTTGAGAACCCCTGCATTAGGCTATAAAATCACATTAAGCAAACATTTCCTAATCTCAATGTTCAATTTCAAGCACTGATCCTGTCTTTCAGTATATTAAGATATCCTTACTGTAGACATTTGAGTTGACTTAAACAGAGAGTCATGTCTGGGAATCACATTTGCTCAGAAAATGCATACTAGACTGAAAAATGGTAACCCCATTGTACAAAATCCTCTGCCGAGGCATAGGAGAATACAGAAGAACTTGGAGGAAAGGAGTTGCAGAGATGGCTTTAACCTGTCATTGTCCTACCCCAGTGCTAGTTCAGCTGTGCCAGCCCCCCAACTTTAGTTTGAGTGGCCTGAAGGCAACTCTAACTCAGACCAGATGCTAGTGCTCCCCAGGCGCTAATACAACAGCCTAAGGTTGTCTGGGGTGTCCTTTAAAACCCAGATGATCTCAGGCTGTTGTTGTGACCTACTGTTCCCCATATACCCACATATTCACCACCGTTATATGATTGTGATATGTTTTGTACAACGTATGCCTTGTGAGGTATCATTTGAAAAGTCTTGATTTGATGAACCTCATTATCCTGTTGAAATGTATGTGTCATCAATGTATATGAAGTTATTACATTTTGCTATATGTTTGTTACTGAAACATGTTGAGTCTGGAAAACTCAGAGAGGACAAAGAAATGGAAAACAGGCCTTAGATGCTGTCTTTCTCTGCTTCCACAATGCAATCTTCACATAGACAAAAGGTGCAAGCAATTCATAATGAAGGATGGTCAGCAGCTCATGTACACCATGAGTGCTGCCTAGTCCCATGACACAGGATGGATTTTTCCAGTATCTGGAGAAAAGTATAAATCAGGGACAGTGATGTCACCACAGGGCCTGCCTCTTACCCCCATTGCTATACAAGGAAAACAAAGAGATCTCCATTTACATTTTGGAAGGAGCTGGACCTAACTGGAACGTGTTCCAGTTAGCATGAAGTTTTGGATGAGAGAAATCATCTTGATTTTAGATTTATTAGCCTGGTAAAGTTTAAGATTTAGATTGTGGTTTTGCTATTTCATTTTGTAACCAATTCTAATCTTCTGTGCAAATTCCGCTTAATCACATAAAATCTATCTTTGTCTAGTTAATAAACTTATTTTGATGTTTAATCTAAACCAGTGAATTTGTCTAAAGTGCTTGGGGGATCTGCTCAGATTAGAGGCTGGGACATGTCCACTACCCTTTGAAGGAGCAGCAAACTTTGATCAAGAAGGTCTTGAGCAGTGTAAGATGCACATTTCTGGGGTGCCAGGCTGGGGGAATTTGCTTATGTCTCCCTATATACAGTTCATGAGTGGCTTGTGAGAGCCTTCGTGCAACTTAGCAGGGTGTGCCTCTGCATGCTGATGGCTGAGTGAACAGAGCTGGAGGGGTTTGCTGTTCACTAGCATAGCAGTGTAGGAGACAGCCTGGGCAGGAGAGTTAAGGGGCCCTAGGGGTTCCACTGTCTGGATTGCACCTCGGGGCATGTCACAGTTGTATTAGCCTCTTGGGACCAATGGCATCTGGTGTGAGTTACAGTTGCCTTCAGGCCACTCAGACTAATATTGGGGGCTGGCACAAACACTCTTTTTCCCTCCTATAACTGCTGTGCGGGCTGCAGGGAAAGAGAGTGGCATAGGAGTTGCTATACTGGCTCTACTCCTCTCAGGATCCCCCTACATTGGAGTGATCCTGTGGTGGCCAGCTACTTTGTGCCAATACTATAGAATCATAGGACTGGAAGGGACCTTGAGAGGTCATCTAGTCCAGTCCCCTGCACATATGGCAGGACTAAGTATTACCTAGACCATTCCTGACAGGTGTTTGTCTAACCTGCTTTTAAAAATCTCCAATGATGAAGATTCCACAACTTCCCTAGGCAATTTATTCCAGTGCTTAACCACCCTGACAGTTAGGAAGTTTCCTAAACCTCCCTTGCTGCAATTTAAGCCCATTGCTTCTTGTCCTAGCCTCAGAGGTTAAGAAAAACAATTTTTCTCCTTCCTCCTTGTAACAACCTTTTACATACTTGAAAACTGTTATATACCCTCTGTCGTCTCTTTTCCAGACTAAACAAACCCAATTTTTTCAATCTTCCTTCATAGGTCATGTTTTCTAGACCTTTAATCATTTTTGTTGCTCTTCTCTGGACTTTCTCCAATTTTCCACATCTTTCCTGAAATGTGGCACCCAGAACTCGACACAGTACTCCAGTTGAGGTCTAATCAGTGCGGAGTAGAGCAGAAGAATTACTTTGCGTGTCTTGCTTACAACACACCTGCTAATACATCCCAGAATGATGTTTGCTTTTTTTGCAACAGCATTACCCTGTTGACTCGTATTTAGCTTGTGGTCCCCTATGACCCCCAGATCCCTTTCCGCAGTACTCCTTCCTAGGCAGTCATTTCCCATTTTGTATGTGTGCAACTGATTGTTCCTTCCTAAGTGAAGTACTTTGCATTTGTCCTTATTGAATTTCATCCTATTTACTTCAGACCATTTCTCCAGTTTGTCCAGATCATTTTGAATTTTAATCCTATCCTCCAAAGCACTTGCAACCCCTCCCAGCTTTGTATCAGCCACAAACTTTATAAGTGTCCTCTCTATGCCATTATCTAAATCACTGATGAAGATATTGAACAGAATCAGACCCAGAACTGATCCCTGCGAGACCCCATTCCTTATGCCCTTCCAACATGACTGTGAACCACTGATGATTACTCTCTGGGAATGGTTTTCTAACCAGTTTTGCACCCACCTTATAGTAGCTCCATCTAGGTTGCATTTCCCTAGTTTGTTTATGAGACAGTCAAGCGAGACAGTGTCAAAAGCTTTAGTAAAGTCAAGATACACCACATCTACCATTTTCCCTCAATCCACAAGGCTTGTTACCCTGTCAAAAAAAGCTATCAGGTTGGTTTGACACGATTTGATCTTGACAAATCCATGCTGACTTACTTATCACCTTATTATCTTCTAAATGTTTGCAAATTGATTGCTTAATTATTTGCTCCATTATCATTCCGGGTACAGAAGTTAAGCTGTCTGGTCTGTAACTCCCTGGGTTGTTCTTATTTCCCTTTTTACAGATTGGCACTATATTTGCCCTTTTCCAGTCTTCTGCAATCTCTCCTGTTTTCTATATTGAGAGCAAAGTGATCACAGCACAGAGATCTGGGCCAGCTTCACAACGTTAGACCTGTAGCTTATTATCTCAAAATGGATAATTGCCTTAAGTCAGTGTTTAATTTAAGTATGTTATTGTATTATGAGAGTATTCCTATTTTAAAAATACTGTTCTGTGGCTAAGAACCTAAAATATTAATAGCATGTATTCATTTTTTTCTTTACTTTTAAATTTGGTTTTGAAATGGGAAATTTCAGTCAAGTTCCATGTTCCCATAGTAGTACAGGTTGGAGACTTTTGTTTTCCTTGCAGACGAGATCAATTTCAGCAGTATCATTTTTATGATTTAACATGCTCTTGCTCTTCCAAACTGGCTATCAATCCTGTAAAAACAAATATGAGTAGTTTTACTCACATGAGAAGTCCCGTTCACCTTCATGTTGTTGAAAAGCTGTGCATATTTTATAAAATAAATATTTTGGAAAAGTCTGTAAAATGGGTGTTGACTATATAGACAAAAAATTGGTGTAACTGACAAAAATAGTCCTCCTATCACTATAAGACAGTTGCTGAAAGTTTCCAAAACCTGCACATCTTAAACAAGATACAGATTTGGAATATTTGTGAATATATGGACTGTTTACTAAATTCTCAGGAAAAACACACACAACCACTGCATAATTTTCTTCCTGTAATAGAAAGGGGAAAATGTTTGTTTAGATATTTCTTTGAAAATTAGACAGCACTAGCAAGCAAAACAATTGTATTAATCCCTCACTGTACAAAGCAAAATGCAATGACGATTTAGAATACAATTATTTTCTTCAGAAAAATACCCCAAAACACCATGTACAACCTATTTATTTTGAATATGTAATTTTGAGTTTATTTGGAATATAATATCAAATATTATGTATTTATCACATGCCTGAAATAGTCAGTTTTTTACTAATCAAAACTTAAGACTTACCTAAAATGTATATCTTGTACATGTATGTCTTAGAAAGTACACAGAATTTTGGTGATGAAGAGGGTGAAGAAACGGATGAAGGAAGCAGTGAAGACAGTGAAGAGGATACTAGCAGTTCAGATAGCGGTGATGATGAAGGAGAAGAAAGTTCTGATGATTCTGATGAAAACGTATAGCAGTTTGGTAATTCTGCTATACTCCCTATAGGTTGATTATTTTGATTCTTCTGTACAGTCACTTTTTAAACACCATATTAAAATGCACTGTTTAATCATTATAACTTTTCTCCCTCTTAAACTGCTACATTCTTTTGCATATAGATTGCCTCCCCACTCACACACAGCCCACCATACCAGTGGTTCTCAACCAAGGGTACATGTACCCCCGGGAGTACACAGAGGTCTTCCAGGGGGTACATCAACTCATCTAGATACTTACCTAGTTTTACAACAGGCTACATAAAAAGCACTAGCAAAGTCAGTACAAAGTAAAATTTCATAAACACAAAATGAGAGAGCAAGCAATTTTGCAGTAATAGTGTGCTGTGACACTTTTGTATTTTTATGTGATTATGTAAGCAAATAGTTTTTTAAGTGAGGTGAAACTTGGGGGTAAGCAAGACAAATCCGACTCCTAAAAGGGGTACAGTAGTCTGGAAAGGTTGAGAGCCACTTCACCAGCCTAGCCTTGTTCCATAACATATTTGATGATATAGACAGAATTGATCTCCTTAGATGTAACTCCTAAAAAATGTTCCTGTTGGAGCAATCAGGTAGATGAAAAACTAGGGTGCTTGTCATCAGTTGAGCAAAGACATGAATTTTTATTGAGGAATTTTGTGCTTTCAAAATTCATTGACAGCAGTTCAGCAGGGCAATAAAATCTTCCTAAATGATTGTGCAGAGCAAATGATTTCACACAATGCTGGTAAGACTCTGAATTAGGGTAAAAAGCCTCTTTAAAATTTAAAGATAAATATACAGCTTCTTGGAAGAAATCAAACAAATATTTTGTGTTACAAAATGTTGTCATTAAACCATATCTTTGGAAATACCTGCTAAAATTCTGTTCATGCAACCTGTCTTCTCCCACCTCACTCCCCTTCCACTCCCCCACAATTTAACTTAATTACAGTAGCCCTGACATAAGGGGGTGCAACTTCAGTGGAAGTTTCTTGGCCAGATTTGGAGACAAAACTTACATTACTGTTTAAGATTTGTCAGGTATAAAGTTAATCAGAAAATGTATGTAAGTAATAAAGTAGAGTAAATTGTACCAATTTGGCATTCAGCGGGTGTGCAAAGTGAGGATAACAAACACAGTCAGGTGGCATGGAATGCAGCAGAAAAAGCAGTAGACAGCATGGTGTGAAAAAATGCATTCAGGACTCGGACTGAACACTATTATGTTTTCTGTAGTCTAACCATGAAAAACATTCATATTTTTAATACAGCATTCTGGTGTGCAGAAGACATGTCACAGTAAACATGTAACTGTCTTGTGTTTCTTGCACCAGTACACTTAAGTATAGTGTTGCTTTTTCGCTCCTAACATTTCAGGACCCCTTGTTAATGTCAGTAACTATATGGCACCATGGTTCTTGTTGTAGCGCCTAATTGTTATTTGCTTTTTCTTCAGTGTAACAAATGTGTTGATTAATGAAGTTATTAAATATAACAGAATAAATGTTTTGCTTGTTTATTTTGGTACACATGTTCAAATCATTATGGGAGCATCACCTCTTATAAGTAAAATCTGATAAGTGAGAGAAATCAGTTGGGTAAGATATTTTACCTGTGCGTGTAGATAAGTATGCATGCATAATATCTGTTACTGTTGGTGTTGTCTTATTTATGAGCTGTTTCATTTCTTTTGTAAGTTTATTTTTCTTAAGCTTTCAATATGAAAATATGTTTTGGCAAATAAAATATAGAAGATACTTGTCAAATATTTGTAGATATTTGTAGGCCCCTTTGTTGTTTTGTATTGATTTGGAAGCACAAAGGAGCTGTAACCCAAATTTAAATGAACCTGGGAGGATTTTCTCTGCATAGGAAAATCTTCCCATGGCATAGGGATAGCTTAGCAGCTCCTACAGCACTCCCATCGTGGCTTTTGGTGCAGGTAGTACCAAGGGGAGAGGGAGCATTGCCAGGGTGTCCCTACACCTCCTGGAGTCTGTTTGTAGCTGGCCTAAGATAGCAGCCTTCAGACTCTGGACAGAACTGGTGCCCACTGGTCCCAGGCCTGGGAAGTCACTAGGGATGCTTAAAGACATGTTTGTCCCCATACCTGGACTTATGCCAAGCACATATCAGCTATTCAGCAAAGCATAGGGTGTAGCCTGTAAGTGGGGTTTTACTCTGAAAAATGACTTTAAGAATGGCACTTTCTTACCCAGGAGATCTGCTTGCTATGTGTTGAGAATTAGATCCATCAACTTCAGTGGCTGAAATAACTATGTATTCCTGTTAGTTCTGCAGAACTAATGCGGCAAAGAGAAAGGGAGTGGAATTCTATTCTTTGTATATCAACATAATTGTTTACTAAGCTCTACTGATTGAGAGCAAAGTTTTGTCCTGCAGAATTTTATTTTATTTCTTTTTATTGGTGCTGATACAGAAGAAGAGAATTCTGCTTGTTTCTCAGAATCCAGGTTGAGTTTGCAGGGCTGACAGAACAGATTTTTATTTGGAAACTTTTGGTATTTAGACTGCATTGAGCACACTTGTGATAAGGAATTTATTGAGAGACAATAAGGGTATGTCTACACTACGAAATTAGGTCGAATTTATAGAAGCTGGTTTTTTAGAAATTGTTTTTATACAGTCGGTTGTGTGTGTCCCCACATAAAATGCTCTAAGTGCATTAAGTCAGCGGACCGCGTCCACAGTACTGAAGCTAGCGTCGACTTCCGGAGTGTTGCACTGTGGGTAGCTATCCCACAGTTCCCACAGTCTCCGCCGCCCATTGGAATTCTGGGTTGAGATCCCAATGCCTGATGAGGCAAAAACAGTGTCGCGGGGGATTCTGGGTACATGTCGTCAGCCCCCCAATCCCCCTCTGTGAGAGCAACGGCAGACAATCGTTTCGAGCCTTTTTTCCTGGGTTACCTGTGCAGACAACATACCACGGCAAGCATGGAGCCCGCTCAGCTCAGCTCACCTTCACCATATGTCATCTGGGTGCCAGCAGACATGGTACTGCATTGCTACGCAGCAGCAGCTAATTGCCTTTTGGCAGTAGACGGTGCAGTATGACTGGTAGCCGTCATCGGCTATCTGGGTGCTGGCAGACGTGGGACTGCATTGCTATACAGCAGCAGCTCCTTGCCTTTTGGCAGTAGATGGTGTATTACGATTGGTATCCATCGTCGTCGTACTCCTCAGTGAGTTCGGTCAGAGGCGCCTGGGCAGACATTTTTGTCTCCTGGAGACTCAGTCCTGCCGGCAGTCCTATTGCACCGTCTTGACGATGATGGCTAGCAGTCGTAATGCAGCATCTTCTGCCAAGCACCCAGAAGATGCCGATGGCTATCAGTCATGCTGCACCGTCTGCTGCCAGCCTAAGATGTAAAAGATAGATGGACCAGATTTGTTCTGTATTCATTTGCTTCCCCCTTCCTCCGTGAAATCAATGGCCTGCTAAACCCAGGGTTTTGAGTTCAATCTTTGGGGGGGCCATTCTGTGTGACAGTTGTTTGTGTTTCTCCCTGATGCACAGCCACCTTTGTTGATTTTAATTCCCTGTAAGCCATGTCGTCACTCGCCCCTCCCTCCCTCCGTCAGACAATAGTTTCGCGCCTTTTTTCAGGCCAGACGCCATAGCACTGGGATCATGGAGCCCGCTCAGATAACCGTGGCAATTATAATCACTATGAACACCACGCGCATTGTTCTGGAGTATATGCAGAGCCAGAACATGCCAAAGCAAAACCAGGCGAGGAGGCGATTGCAGCGCGGTGATGAGATTGATGAAGAAATTGACATGGACATAGACCTCTCAAAAAGTACGGGCCCCAGCAATGTGCAAATCATGGTGTTAATGGGGCAGGTTCATGCCGTGGAACGCCGATTCTGGGCCCGGGAAACAAACAAACAGACTGGTGGGACCGCATCGTGTTGCAGGTGTGGGACGATTCCCAGTGGCTGCGAAACTTTCGCATGCGTAAGGGCACTTTCATGGAACTTTGTGACTTGCTTTCCCCTGCCCTGAAGCGCCAGAAGACCAGGATGAGAGCAGCCCTCACAGTTGAGAAGCGAGTGGCGATAGCCCTGTGGAAGCTTGCAATGCCAGACAGCTACCGGTCAGTCGGGAATCAATTTGGAGTGGGCAAATCTACTTTGGGGGCTGCTGTGATCCAAGTAGCCAACGCAATCAAAGACCTGCTGGTATCAAGGGTAGGGACTCTGGGAAACGTGCAGGTCATAGTGGATGGCTTTGCTGCAATGGGATTCCCTAACTGTGGTGGGGCGATAGACGGAACCCATATCCCTATCTTGTCACTGGAGCACCAAGCCACCGAGTACATAAACCACAAGGGGTACTTTTCAATGCTACTGCACGCCCTGGTGGATCACAAGGGACGTTTCACTAACGTCAACGTGGGATGGCCGGGAAAGGTACATGATGCTCGTGTCTTCAGGAACTCTGGTCTGTTTCAAAAGCTGGAGGAAGGGACTTTCTTCCCGGACCAGAAAATAACCGTTGGGGATGTTGAAAAGCCTATAGTTATCCTTGGGGACCCAGCCTACCCCTTAATGCCATGGCTCATGAAGCCGTACACAGGCAGCCTGGACAGTAGTCAGGACCTGTTCAACTATAGGCTGAGCAAGTGCAGAATGGTGGTAGAATGTGCATTTGGACGTTTAAAAGAGCGCTGGCACAGTTTACTGACTCGGATAGACCTCAGCAAAACCAATATCCCCATTGTTATTGCTGCTTGCTGTGCGCTCCACAATATCTGTGAGAGTAAGGGGGAGACATTTATGGCGGGGTGGGAGGTTGAGGCAAATTGCCTGGCCGCTGATTACGCGCAGCCAGACACCAGGGCGGTTAGAAGAGTACAGCAGGGCGCGGTGTGCATCAGAGAAGCTTTGAAAACCAGTTTTGTGACTGGCCAGGCTATGGTGTGAAACTTCTGTTTGTTTCTCCTTGATGAACCCCTCCCCCCCCCAATTCACTCTACTTCCCTGTAAGCTAACCACCCTCCCCTCCCCTCTTCGAACACCGCTTGCAGAGGCAATAAAGTCATTGTTACTTCACATTCATAGATTCTTTATTAATTCATCACACAAATAGGATAACTGCCAAGGTAGCCCGGGAGGGGTGGGTGAGGAGGGAAGGACAAGGACACACTGCACTTTAAAACTTTAACACTTATTGAAGGCCAGCCTTCTGATGCTTGGGCAATCCTCTGGGTTG